TTGAAATCACCATAGAAAACCTGGAAGCACTGAACAATCGTTTCGTTCTAGTATGAAACTCCTCAGCAGTGTGCATGCATGACCGCCCCCCCCCCGCGAGATTCGAACTCAGGACCTAGTAGTTAGACATTAATAGCGTCGGATGCCGGTCGGCTCAGTGGTCTAATGGTTAATTGCTCGCGTGCGAGGCCGATAGGTCCTGGGTTCAAATCTCGCAGGGGGTGGGCGGGATCGTGGATGCGCATTATTGATGGGTCCCATAATAGGATGAAACTGTCATCCAATACTTTCAAGTTTTCTATGATGGTCTAGATTCAATTGAATCATGATTTCAACTATTGAAACGTCTAAAATCTCCACAAAACCCCTTCTCATGATGATGATAATAATAATAATAATAATGATAAACAATATCAACATAGAAACTGATCATCATTACTAAAATCTTTTGTACATTGAAATTATATAATCTAAAACAAATCAATTCAGTCATGTGTAATAAATCAATTGAGTGAATTAAATAGAGTAAATAAATGAATAATAACAATCAATTCAAATGTAATCTGTAAAGAAGATTTGTAACTGAAATAGATCATTTAAATGAAGTTTTGCTGAATGATTCGATCGTGGAGCTTTGATTATGAACAGTGGTCTTGAGTGCTGTTAGAGGTATGAGGGCGGTTATCACTTCCCGGTTGCCCACACCGTGGAAGGGTTCTTCTGGAGGTACCTGAAAAGGAAATTGGATTAGAGGTGTTCATAGTGACCTGAGAGCGTGACCGCAGTGCCCAAGGGACAGCTGCTTGAGGTCGGTCACACACGACCTTTTTGTGAGTAATTTTTGTGTTAGCTCCGTACTTGTTTAGTCCTTACCGCCGGAGACGGATATCCGTGGGATAAGGCGAGGTGTGCATTTTTAGGGTCGACCTTTTCTAACCCCACCCCTCCTTGTGGGAAGGCAGCATCGCTGTCATACTGGTTGTCTGAAGGAAACACCTTACTGCTGTCACACCTCTGTACAGTCAGCAGTACGACTTCGCCTTCGGACCTTGGTTTTGTTGCTTTTAGTCTTACCGCTCTTCAACCGACCTGTCTGGCATGGTAGGACCTTGAGGAACGGTTGTTCCAGCCAGTATAGCTCAGTTGCTTCATCACGATAGGCAAGCCCGACCACCACGTCAAGGTAGCAACAACGGTCAGGTAAGGTAGCAACAACGGTCAGGTGACATGGCTCAGAATCGATCACAATGGCGTCGGTGTATACACTCTCTGTCTTCCTTAAATTAAGAGATTAAAATCGCTTCATATTTTTATTTCTACGGAGTAATTCTTTCTTCCTGTACTATCTCCTTATACACAATCTTTCTTCTATATATTACCACCACTGAATTAACTACTCCTATGAATCCGGTGTTCATCTTGTTGTGCTAATGCGGTATGGCAACTTGGACCGATGCATATACGTGCCTGGTCCTACGTTGCAGCTGACTGGAGCTTTGATTGTTCTTCTGAATAAAATCATCATCATCATCAGCAGCAGCAGAACAAACTTCATGAAGAAGTGAAGTGTTCGAATTTCTCCACATGTGATTCATAGTTTGGTCAAAGGATGAAATGACAAAAGAAGATAAACCGGATGCCCTCTTCATATTCGCCTGCATGAATATCATATAGTAGTTAAATGTCATGACAACTACGGACATACATTCGACTGTAAAAATGTGGAAATTTTGAATAGAGGTAACTTCAAAAACATCAAAGAATTTTTAGAAGCTTAACACTCAGGTGAATTGGTAATCAACAAGCATACTGAAATCAATCCAATTTATCATCCAATCAGAAAAAAACTGTGAACAGATATAGGACCAAAAATCAAATCGATGGGAGATACAATCAAAATAAAGAAGTAAACAATGACAGGTTTAAAGTCAACAAGAACTAATCAACATCGAGGTTTATCTTAAATATCGCTCGATGGATCATTCTCTTTTTCATGTATATATGTACTCGAATCATGCTATTAGTCTTTATCTTTCCTAGCTACTGCTTCTGTATTTGCTCGCATACAAATATATTCGTCTCTCTGATTCAAATTCGCTCGATGTACTTATAACTTTGTTATCCGTACTATCCGCTAACAAACTGTAGTCGCCGATTCTTATTGCCTTTTGAATTTAAACACCGCTGAAGTGATATAATAGCGATTGTCAAAGTGATTGATTGACGAAGTTATGCTACTACAAGTCTATTCTACCTCTCAAAATACTCTCACATGGTCATGTGTATATAGCCACTACCAAAGAAGTCCTACTCAATGACTTTTCGCGACAGGGATGTTGGTTATGAAATTGAGAGGACGAAAGTGAATATTTAGTGCTTTAACCATGTTAGTTAGTATGTAGGATCAAGTTAGGCGGGTTAGAAACCTTGATACCAAAACCAATAATGCACATGGACTAAAAGAAGCAGTTAAAGAAATGACAATAATTATAGTAAGGATTATAAACAGTTATTTATTTATGACAATCATTCTAAGTGATAAGTCTTGTTAATTGAACGCTATACTCGGTTCCTAAGCTATTCTTCAAACCCCCAAGCTAGAACTATATGGCGACATGAACACGAGAGAGAAGACACAAAGTATGCGAAAGCACTTTACTCCAAAGGTTCGTTTTAGTACAGAAAATATAAGGTTTTTATAGTATTTTAGATGTCCTTGAATCTTCCGAAGATTCTGGAATACTACTAAACATAGTAGTAATATGGTAATCAATCAATCAGAGACTCTACATGTGACTTTCCACTTTCCTTGATGTTTCTGGCTAAACTTCAAGTGAACCCTGATTGGATAAAACGCCTCTTAGTGTTTTCCTTATCCTTTCTTGTCTTTTGTGAGAAATTTTCTGGATCATCCTAACACTAAGATCATTTACTAACTAAGCTTAAAATTCATTTATACTAATTTCTTACTCAAAATCACCTTTTGTTTAAATGCAACCTTTTCAGGTATACAGAATTTTCGTCCTCTCATTTTCGTAAACAACACCCGTGGTGTGAGAAGGCAGTGAGTAGGACTCCCCTTGCAGAGGCTATATATGCGTGACCATGTGAGACCATTTCGAGAGGGAGGGCGAACCCTCCCCACTCTCGGCCATACCAGGGCATAATTAACTGAAGATCCTGTGAGAAAACTAAAACAGTTGATTATTATTTATAATAAAATAGTCTCTGTTTTTCATATAGCCTAAAGATAAGAGATATCGGTAATCAATATTAAGTTCTCTTAATAGGCTTGTCTAATCACTTATTACATCATCAATAGAAACAGATCGAATCAATCAATAACCAATCAAAAGATGAAAGATCAATTGAAATGAAAATGATAGCTATGACTCACAAGGAAGTTGGGTTTAAACATAATAAATTCATGTCCTCACAGGAATACTCAGGGACAAACATTAAGAGATTTTAAACAAGATAAAGTACTAAAAGATTCCATTTATGTACTTAGTCAAGGTATTAGACTATATGCATTTATCAAGTCCAAAAGGATAAATCTAATATTGCTGCTATACCAACACAATTTCTCTACAGAATCTTAAGTAGCCAGAAAAGTGCTAAGAACATTTTTCAAACCAACATATGTCTCAGAAACTTCTTGGACACTGATGTATCATACTCTGACCAGGTGATTACTTACACTGTTAGGAAATAAGGTATGCTTCCAGGAATTTCTAGATATCAAGGGTTACAGATAAACTAATAAATACTGTTGTTTTCTGTAGATTGACAAGCCTTGAAGTAAAGCTTCTTTCCTTAATTAAAGTGATTAAAGGCTTTCTGCTTAGATATACTGGTTGATATTGGCTTGAAATCGATGGTAATGTCAAGGAAAGATTGTTTTCACTGAGTTTGAGGCTTGATATAATTCCCTACTTATAAGTCCCGGGAATTTTAATTGCATCATATAAGATTAATTTTTCTCTACCTCTGTTATTTATTCCTAAACTTTTGATCTCAGTGTGCTCTCCTATTTGGCTAACAAGATTCGTAACAATTTCTATTGATGTCCATTGTCTCCAGTATTGTTATTTATAAAACTAGAAAACACTCAATTTATTCCATACTACATAAGCAATCACTATTGTAAAGAGATTTGAACTGACACCGTGTCATACAAATTGTAAGTGGAATACACCCCTGTATTGTGTTTCCAAGATGAACAAAGGCTAGTGTTGTATGGTGAAATGGCGATGTTGTGAAATCTGGGACTCATCAGTTGAACATACCTGGATTCCAGTATCGATTATTTCATTATAACTATCTCAGAGTTGTGTGTATTTCATGGTTTTCTTTATGAAAAGAATGATTCTGTAGTTTACTTACAAAGAATTCTTTAAATTCTCAGCTACTTTTACAGCTGATGATAAGTAGTGGTCTACTTGAATTCACATAACCACTTAGTTTCTTAACCAGAGATCTCGAGTTCGAACTCCACTCAACTTAATTCAGTTTCTGTATCTTGAAGTCAAGTACATAAACTATATTTAAATTAACGATAAAAAGATAAGTACAAATCAAATGAACTAACATCTCCGTGTAACATACTACTTTTTATTTGGGTTTGACTAGACAAATCCAATTACAACTTCATAACACAAATGTAGTGATATTGTATTTTCCCTCCAAACACTAGACAAGTTGAATTAGTCTTCTCTTACCTCCTTACTTGTAAACACTAAGCAAATCTTGAACAAACAGAAATATAGTCATCTGGAGTATATTTCCATGTGACACAAGAATCTATTAAGACAAATACACTAGCCAATAGTTCATAAAATCTTGATGGGAAATAATAATTATGATAAAAAATCTTGACTACTCATAGTAGTTTGTCTTATATTAAACAAAAATATCGAAAATTGTGTTACAAAGTTACATTGAGATTTTAGAAAAAAAGTTTAGCAACATAACAGTCAACTGTATACAAGCATATTTCCTTATTGAAATGGTAAACATCTTGAGTTAAAGTTATTCTGATTATTATTATTATTTGTACTATTATTATTATTGTTGTTACTGTTATTCAATGCATTCGATACACCAGTAGCCAATGGATTCCAATTAGGGTTAGTAGCTCGAAGTGCATTTGTAATTAATGATGAGGCATTCAATGGATTAGGTGGCTAGGAAAAGGATTTAGAAAACCGATATCAGGAGATATATGAATTACATAAAATGTTTACCATATAAATTCAAAAGTCTAGGTAAATGAATAAAGATAAAGTCATGAATAATGTTATGATCACTAACAATGGTCAAACTAAAAAAATAACGAACAAATATCCCATCCTTGTTTACTGCTTCTGATCAATGTACACCTATGATCTTATCATAGTGGGCAGAGTTAGTGATTACTAGATTTAGAATAAGCCATAACTCATTTATATTACTAAGCAAGGAAATTTATTGCTTTATATTTTTTTAATTCTATCACCACGTAGTTGATGTGATCATTATCCAATGTTATACGAGTGGGGAGAGTCCGCTCTCCTTCTCGAAACGCTCTCACATGAACACGTGCATACAACCACAATCAGGGAAGTCCTACTCACTGCCTTCTCGTGGCCCGTGTGTTCTTTACGAAATTGAGAAGACGAAAAGCGAATGTCCGGCGCTTTAACCGGGTTGGTAGATATGAAGGATCCACCTAGGTGGGTTGGAAAACCTTGATTCCAAACCAATGGTGTACATGGGCTCCAGTATCCTGAGGGGAAAATGGCGTATGAACCACTCGTTGGTCACCGGCTACCGTGGGACTGCATCTCCTCACGATGCTCCATTGCCTTGTGGATCAGACCTTTAGGTAGAAGGCTGAATTTCATTAAAAGATTAGATAAGAGCGAAGTTTCAGGTTCAACTATGATTAAGGTCAAATGCGTAAAGACGTCCTGGGTTCAAAGGAAACACCTTCCCTGTCATTTTCAAATGTTGTTTTTACGCCTAACCTCAGTTTATTATGAAAATTATTACTAAAATATAATGAAGACAATAGCTCAGTGGGTTGTGTGAAGACTGGTTGAAATGTAGGTCGTATTCTAGTGGCTAAGTGTTAGACATGAAACCTGTAGGTCTTGTTTATCATTCCTGGTGATATCGTGAATTCGTGCTGCCAAGGAGGCAAATACTAAGACGAAATAGTCCGCTAATTTTCAATACGACTCTGTAAATGAGTTCAATCTCATATGAATTCAACCTACAAACGACGATATTGGTCAAAATGAGTGATTAGTGAAATGAATGAATAAAATATTTATACATAATTACCTGCATTTGATTACTAGTCAAAGATTGTTGAATCGTTGCTCCAGATAGATTACTTGTACCACCAACTACTGTCATTCCAGCAGATTTCGACTGGACAGCTGCTGCTGCTGACATCGCCGCTGAGACGACAGCAGCTAAGGCAGCAACAGCTGAAGCACTACCAAAGTTCTGATTATGCTGTGTAGACGACGATGACGGAATAGAAAGTGAATTAGCAAGAAATGCAGACGGTGGTGGTGCTTGCTGTAGTGGTCCTGGTGGTGGTGCACGAATATTTGGTGCCCCGATAGATGGTGGAGGTGGAAGTGTAGGCGGAGGACAGTTCGTGAACTGTTGAAGTTGAGGAAAATTATTAGTAACAGTGTTATTACTGTTATTATTATTGTTAGTAGTAGTACTACAACTACTATTTAGGTTGTTTAGTCTAAGAGGTCGAGGTATTCCCATAGGAAGTCGACTTGAAAAAATTGCTGGGGATGAAGTCTGTGCAGGCGGTAATGGTAAAAGACCACTGCTTTTCTGATTATTAATATAAATATTTGGTTGAGTTGTTCCACAAGTTGGTGGAATCATCGTATTCATAACTAACCTTGGTGATGGACCTAACAAAGACATTGGAGGAGGCGCACCAGTCGTTGTCTTATCTACGGATAAAGGTGTAGTCACTTGATTAGCATTTGTTGTTTTTACAACGCCGGAAAGTCGAGACGCCTCTTCCGTAAAATTGACTTGGTTTGGCAAAGGTGTAATTATTTCTGAATGTGTGACAATATCGTTTTTAGTTATTATCGTATTACTGACATTATTACTACTGCTATTATTAGCGACCGAAGTAATTGCAGTTGACCCAGTACGATGTCGATGGTCAATATGAGCTTGAAGATCACGATGACTGAGATAAGTACGCCGGCAACCATCACTTTCAAAGCACATGAATATTCCTCCAACTAAACATCGTTCCACAGTTTGTATAGACTTTTGACATCTAATTAGAGAAATATAGACATTAAATTACTAAGAATACACTGTATAGATAAATAGAAATGACAAGAACAATTACTCGTTGAATAGTCAATAGTGTGACCGATCAATGGAGTACATATGAGTACATGGAGTACATGTGAAAGCTCTCTACTTAAACACTACTGTGTCAAAATGACATGAGCATAAATCTTCTATTTAACTCTGTATATTACCTCGGCCGACATTTAGTGTGGCAGCGGTAATAAGAATGGGAGAATAGTCCCATACTAAAACACTCGCCCTCCGATAAGGCCCTTACGTAATAGCCCAGCCGACATATAAATATGATACTGTATAATGATGAGGAAAATGGTATACTTGCTCTGCTCCATAACTAGCCAAAACAATATCTGGAATTCAGTGTTTACTTACACTTGTTAGTCAAAAGAATTTTAAAAAACATCGATGTATGTGAAGTATAGATATACGCGCAAATCAACTTACCTATTACATTTCTTCATAAGATTCATAGCACATGTATAACACAATACATGCTTACAAGGAAGCTATTTTGGAGAAAAAAAAGCACATTATTGACAAATAGATCCACCTACCAAACGTCCATAGATTACAATTGGTAAATCACAAATATCACAGAAATGAAAAACTGTATCCTTTGCTTTTTCACCAACTAACCAAACCTATTTCGTAAGAAAGAAAAAGAGAAAACGGGTGAAGGAAATAAATAGGACAGATTCTCTAACTAGACAGTCATTAAAAACCAGGGAGTAACTGATGTCAGCATGATCCTAGTATAGTAATCCATGAAAGTATCCACCCTTGATCCCATTGTGAATTGAGTACTCCAGATAAGCTTCAAATCACTTACCTGAAACCCAATGTACCACATTTCCAAATCCAATCAATTCGCGATACTAAATGATCATTACTCACTGTTATCAGTGAAATGTCTCAGGTTCAACTACACTAGCTACAATTTATTACTGGAATTCAAAGGGCCCATTGAAAAGCTATTCACTAGTGGGAACTTGATTATCATTAATGGCACGAAAATGTTTACGGAGATCAATTTTTAGAAATCCCTCACGCTAGAAGATTCTTTTTGTCATGATATCTTTTACAAAGCAATGATGCTGAACATTTTGGATCGACATATTATTGAGATGTGATTTGTGAATCTATGGTACTACTGGAGACCAAGCTGATGAATGACGAAAAAATAGGTCAAGCAACAAAGCCGATTCGGAATCTAGTCGTCATGAACCTACTATGAGACTTGTGGCTAACACTATTTTCACATGCACCATCAATATATAAATATAGTTGAGCAGATAGCCATAGTGAACGTAGGATCTGGTATGGACGTGCATAGGTTCGATCGGTATTCCGCACCTTACATCAGAGTAATGATAGGCGATGAGATAATATGAATGCCGATTGTAGTGGAGACCTAGACATAAGAAATATGGTGAGGGAAGAGTTAACGATATACAACGAAAAGTTAGGAATGACAACCAAGTTAATTAGTCAGTCATAAAGAACAGAAACCGGGACATATCTGAACCGATTCAAACTGAGACATTATATTAGCAGTGAGATGAAATTAACAAACAATGACAGGGTAGTAAAAGTAATGACAATATCAACGGTATTAGAAAAGATTATGTATTAAGAATATGATTTAAGAAGTATAAACCCGGGAAATAGAAAGTAAAAGATAGTTTTAAAACTCATGATCTAAGGAAAGGCAGAAAATTAATGTACCCGCTCTACTACGATTGGTTCGGAGCTAACCCACCCAATGTCTTCAAGCACTGATTACGAAAATCGCTACGACCCCGACAATTTTGTCTGCACCTACCTACAGGAATTAATTTAAAAGTTAATGACTCCACAGATATCTCATGCCTTTGTCTAGTCGTTCAGTCTTCTAAAACATGTTATATCTCTATTCAATGGTTGAATGCGCACAAAAAGTATATGGCCCTTAATTTATATATCATATTGAAACAACACAGGGATTTCTTCAAAGATTCATGTGAATGAAAATGTTTCCATTTTCCCAATCCAACACCAGTAAAAATCTTTTCGAAAAATATCTATTCGGTATTTCATTGTACTACATTAATCTACGCGATTCATCAAGTAGACTCTAAGCAAGTGCGTAGGATACACTGAATTACTAGTAATAGTTCAATTACAGTAGTTATTCAAGAAAAAATTATACAATAGAAACATAAGCTTGAATAGCATCATAACGTCAAAAGTTAATTGAAATAAATTCCGATGTTAACAAATAGAATAATTCAATAGATAATTACATTATTTGTCCAATGTGCACGCTTAGAACGATCCCTCGGATCTTTGACACATTTGGCGCTTGGTGAAGCGGTTCTTGAATTAGGGCTGTGTGATCGTGAACGAATTGAGTGATACGAACAACTTCTTGTTCTACTTCTAAAAAACGACTTTCTCCGACTACGATAAGATCTTGATCTGGAACGACTAGCAGAACGTGAACGTGAACGTGACGAGTAAGCTGACCGACCATGAGAGCGTGAACGGGATCTAGACCATGATCTGGAACGTCGACTGCCAGAATGTGAACGAGAATAATTGGAATGACTTTTTGACCTAGTACTCCGGCGTGAACGGGAACTGCGTCTGGAAAATGATCTGGTTGCTGATCGACTACGATTCGAATGTGTATAACTCCTCCGAATACTGCCACTCCTAGATCGACTTCGGCTTGCGCTATGAGTGCGAGCTGTACTTCGGCTTACAGATCTTTGGGAACCAGGCGAACAAACCATTACAAGTTGACAAAAATCGTTATTGTCTAAAATATAAAAACGGAGGGACAACTGCAAGTATATCCATGATTAGAATTTCTGATTAAGTTAGTACCTCAGCTAAATTTAAACTGCATTCAATTCGAGTCTTACACTACCAAGTGTGAAGTACTATACTATCTATTCTTACTCGACATCCAAGTTACGGCTGCATTATATGGTCGAAGTTACAGTGGCCGATGTAGCGATTATACAGAACGTGAGGCGTAATTGGTGGTGCTAACATTCACGAACATCTTAGAAACACCCCAAAAGTCAGAAAATATGTCACTTAACGTGTCCATTTTAAAAAAAATATTTGCAAATATAGACTAAATTACAAGTCACAATATCCATAAATACAAGAAAGGACTGATATTATCCCAAACCTTATAATCAAACTGACGTACCGCAAGTTTGACATTTCCCGGTCTTTTAAATGGTTCAAATGGATGTGAACGGTATAGAAGAAGCTTTTGTTTACCCGGCTTCCGTGTCTAGTAGCAGTAGATCGCCAATATCTCCAGGCAGGAACCCAGGTACATTAACGATAAAAGAGAAAAAAGAAATTAGTGAATCATAATGAGATACTATCCTTAGTCATTATTCTTTAAGAATAGATCAAGCCGCCTCTTTAAAGACTCCTGGAAGTCGATTAGACTAGCTCAGCCGGCAGTTAATTCCAGCATTTGACAACTTTTAAGTAGTAGAAGTTGTTTCTACAGTCCGTTCTGCTGTGTTGTGTCTCCAGTTTCTGAGTGTTACCCCTTAGGTTTGTGTTGGACCTAAACTTAAGTAGGTGTTCAAGGGGATGTCCAGAAGTGTTAAGGATACTGCAAGCCATTGGAAGGTAACCTCTAAAACGCCTATACTCCAATGGGTGGAGGTTCACCGACTGAAGGCGCTCTTTATAAGGCTTGGATTTGAGTTCTGGAAATGATTTCGTGGCTCGCCGTTGGATACGCTCCAGTGTCCTTATCCTTTTGGAGTGAGGGACGAAATATTGTTTCCGCACTCTGAATGAGGAGGAATACAACTTTTGAAAATTATGTGGAAAGTTCTTCCGTCAAACTGACGCTTCGGTGTTACCGGTGCAAGGTCTATTCGAAAGACTTTACTTCGCAAAGACATGTACAGTTGCAGATGGAGGTTTCATCAGTATGGTTAGTGTGGGTCAGTTGAAATGTCCGAGAGTTTTGTTCAATCAAAGGGTTAGCGGTAGCGCCGTCGTTATTGGTCGGGCGATTATGACCTGGCAGTTGGGAAACTCCAGTTTTGGCTTGACGAAGAGAGGCTGCATAATGGAATAAGCTTTTAGGATTACAGACAAATTTATCAATAAACTTTATCTGGTACTGGAGCCTGTCTTCTCTCATAACCTTCGTGCATGTGTCCCTTATATGTTTGTATCGCCTGTACGCGCCATTGTTATCAGTTCGTTTGTATTCTGCCCAACAGTGTCTTTTGTGGCTTATTTAACGAAGAGTGCAGTTCTTAATGACCTTAGGTTGCTTGTAGCTTTTGGGGACCGTTTAAGGAACTGACTGCTTTGTAGCACATAAAAGCGTGTGCAGTATGACGTCCTAATGAGCATCACATCAAGTTGAGGGTGAACATCCCAATCCACCTGTTGTAGATATTTCTGTAGAGCAGACACATTCAACCTTTTGAAACTCCAGCGCCTGCTGTCAGTGGGATCGCTGAAGGCTATGACGGTGTGATCGCTTTCCCCCAGGAAGCCAGGATTGAAAGGCTTTTAACTAAAAATTCTTTGTTTTTAAATATATACTATTTCTCCAACGAGTTGCCGACTTCACATTTTCGAATAATCCCGGATCATAAACGAGGTTGAAGGACCGAGCTTCAGTTGAATTTCCACCTCTAATATACGTGTGTTCCACGAAATTAACTCTAGGCAGATCGAAGTCCCCCAGAATCAGGATATGAGTGAATCCATAGAGCGTAGAATGGGATGATCCTTCCAGCATACGGCTGTCTTACTCGATTTCAGCAGTGGGCTTCCTGCAGATGACCCCGACGAGGCACCTCAAAGTGGTAGACCATCTTACTGAGCACCACGCGGATTCATTAATATTGATAAACTCTTGGTTGTGAACTTGGTGTACCTCCAGGCAGGATCGTATGTATAAACCTACTCTACCCCCAAATCCTATTTTTTTGTCGTTGCAAAACGAAGACATCCCAGGTATTGCTAGCTCCTAGTCCGTAAACTGAGAATATATCCAAGTCTCAGATATTCCTATCAGATGAGCATTATTAGCATTGCTAAGTTCACGTAGTTCATCCATTTTATTCGGCAGACTCACGACGTTCATGTGTAAGCAGATTATGCTTTCAATTCGAAACGCATGAGCTTCTCTCTGTTTGTCTGTATGAGCCTTACGTGAGTGGACAAGTAGCCTATCTATGTAAGGTTTTGCGAGTTGATAGGCCCTGTCCTTTACACGTGTTTTTATTATCAAGACAGTCCACAAGTAGAATGGTCAGCTCCAACTTGCCTTTGTGATTGATCCTGGCATAATGTGGTCTATCCAGATGTATATGGATTCCAGTTTTGAATGGAATAGAAGAAGCTTTTGCTTATTTGGCTTTCGTATCTAGTAATAGTGGATCACCTATGCCGGTGGGTAAGAACATAAGTATATTTAACGATTAAAGAGAAAAAATTATTGGTTGATCATAATGAGATGCTGTCCTTAGGCCTCATGAATATGTAGAGTTTTCTTTTAAAGGACTCTTGGAGAGTCCCTTAGACTGGCTCAGCAGACAGAGGACTTCAGCATTTTACTGCCTTTAAGGAGTCGAAGGTATGCCCATAGTCCATTCTGCTATGTTGTTTCCAGCTATTTGGGTGTTACTCCTAAGGCTTCTGTTGGGACTGAGTTTACTTAGGTATTTGAAAGAATGTTTAGGAGTGTTAAGCGTTCCGTAGGTCCTTAATCCACACCATTGACACGTATAACCTAAGGACTAAAGGTTCAGCGATTTGAGGCGCTCTTCATAAGGTTTGGATTTGAGTCCCTGAAATTATTTTTTGGCTTGCCTTTCTATACGTTTCAATACACTCTTTTCTTTCTTGCGTGGGAAAGAAAACATTCTATTTTCATATTCTAGACGAGATCAAATAAAGTTGTTGAAGAGTGAGTGGGAAGTTCTACCGTTGGAATGACCAAAAATCAGCCTCGATGTTACGGTGCAAGGATTTCTCACGAGTTATTTTTGTTACGGTTAGCGCAAAACTTCAAATCACAGGGTAGAAATACTCTCAGATCTTTTCAAACTTGAGATACATTTAGAGGGGAGTTACTCAAGCTGTAATCGTAGTTTGCAATATGTCTCAGATGGACACTTTGATGAGTTGACAATATTTAGCCTCATTGTTTAAGATAACCGGAAAGTATATCCGTCCTAGTTTCGATGATAAACAATCTGAAATGAATATTTGGCTATCCATAATAGCACGAGATTCGGTATATAGTTGGACAAATGGTGTACAATGTTTTTTCACATCTGGCAACTTTAACTGGTTAAGTAATTTTCTCTAACACTTCTGGTTGTAATTGCCGAATTCTCTTAGTTTCATGTTACTGATGATTACTGTATGTTGTATTCATGATTAAATGGAAGCAAATTCTCCGTAACAAGTACGTAGTCGGTCTGCATACAGTGAAAGATAAATATTGACAATTCCGAGTTAAGTGAAAAATCTGTTGTTCACATTTTTATGTTCAGAAACAGAAATGAGTCTGGCGTCATTAGTCAAAGGGCACACTGTTGCCATCATTAAGGAAAAGTTGTAGAATGATTTACATACGGTCTAAATAAAGGAGTGAAATAAGATACACACGAGACGAGTTTGCAAGTAAAAATTTCGTTTTTTAATGGTTCACATTATAAAACGTTTATGCCTAACGATGCAAGGTCTCAACATCTTATCGAGAGTTAGATCACTTCTCAGGCAACTACCAACCGGAAACAGTTTACACCAGTGACTTAAAAATTCGGTTTTCGTAGTTTTCACACAAAAGGTGTCTGGAATGAGGAATAACAGATTAGGTCAGCTTAAATATTCACTTTTTCTCAGTCAAAACTAAAATAGTGTCAAATAAGTTGTAACAAATCCATGGTATTGATGTCGATTTCTTATGCTAAACACTTCTCTGACACATGCCTGTGATTCTTAGTTGATTTTGCTTCCTATCGAGAGATCCTTTTGCAAACAAGACTGAACAATCACGCTAAATATGAGTTCACTCATGACGTTACAAAAGTTACAACAATAAAAACGAGTGGTAATACTTTAGACGAGGAAAAAGCCAATTATCACTTGAACACTGTATTTTCCTTACTAAATTATAGAAATAGACTTAATTCTAAACTTTCAGCCCATTTAAATCCCTTCTATTTTTACAGTACTTTATTCATTCAACATCAAACTGTGGTTTGTTTTCTTTAACTTGATGAGATATACTTATTTAGAAATTGACTTGATAAAAGTGAGTGAGTTTAAGAAGTCATACTCGGATTGTTCCATCACAAATTTTGCCAGCCGTCCTGCTTCTCTTCTTCCCTTGGCATTCTTTTTTAGCGCCTTCATGGTATACCACTAAAAACATTTGTGGAACACGACTTTGTCCTGCGCCACCACTTGTACTTCCAAAATTTATCTGGGATCACCATCGAGAAGCACAAACTAATACATCCAAGTTAACGTCTTCTATTAACTGCTCTGGATTTCACTTTCAGTTATTCTCAACCACTGGTTGCTTGTCGCAACGTAACCTCCACAAAGCGTGCCAACTCTCATACTGGACATTGGAGTCACACATTATTATTCTAATGCATAAGAATTTATTCCCTGTTTATGTTACCCACGTACCCTATAACATAATAACAAAGTCGAGTAACCTAATAAAGTAAAGTCTGTAGCATCCGTAACAAATTCATCTTGCCTGTGAACTGGCATGCCTCATGTAACATACTGTTATCTGTGAATACTTTATTTTCATGAGACATTTAGTTCTGATATAACACTGAGTGTCTTTAGTCCCGGAAGAGTGCTTCAAGTATGTCGTACTAACGTTCGGAGAAGTCCCCGTTAAGGCGATAAATTTCCATTATTTGAAACTATATTTGTAACTTCTGAAGGCATAACAAATTGAACCAGGTATAATTTGTCCTACTTTTACACTGATTCATGTCTAGGTTTGGATATCTTATGCATATTCTTCTTATAACTTATCGAAATGATTATACTTTTATTTAGGTGTTTATAATTCCCACCGTTTCCCTTGTATTATTTTCAAGACAAAATTACTATCGCATACACTTAGTTCAGATCTTGTTCTCATCCATCTACATAATAACGACATTGTATACTATTTATCTAGTCTCAAAACGGTTGTACAAAATGAAAATTATGCAACTCACATTGATTACAAAGTATAAATTGAATACTGATTTCGAGTTAATATAATTGCGTCATGGAACGCAAAATCATTAACCTTAACAACCAAAATCCCATGAGATTGAACCATATCAAAAAACAGAAAACAAACTGCTTAGAAGTCGAGTACTACTTACCGAATGTTGCTGCTTGCCATTAAATTTGAACCTAATTGACTACCAGACGTACAAGCTTACCTACTAACAATAGTGATGGTATTAACTGCATCGCTTTTCGCCACTAGAATAATAGACAATACCAAACTTGTAGATTTGCCATCACGTGATTGCGTAATCTATAAGATCTTACGTGGCAGTCACATAAGTGTCTTTATCGACTTGTCCTACCGTGACAGTCAGCGAAATACCGCCTAGAGTCTCTGTGGAACGCTTTTGAACTGGAAAACGAATAATATATTGGACACAAAAAGATGGAAGTTACGTAGAGTGACCATGTCTGCATGGCCAAGTTATGCCATACCAATTAAGTGTTTTTGCCTCCACCGTTTTCCAACCTCTCTAAATACTTGATGTTGAGTGTTGACCTCTTTAGTTATCGCGCGTGGATTTGGTGGTTGAAGACTGACACAAGTATATTTTTACCATTGTCATTTAGCATACCAGTGACCAGTTAACTATATGCAGAGCCATTATCTAATATCAATCCTTGGATACTCTTCTGTATACTCGCGCATTATAATAACCTAGACTGAAGTTCGCATGAGTGGCTGTAGTAGAACCCGGACGCAAGTGGCTGTTATGGATTTTAGATTAGAAATACATGATGTATAACATTTTTATTACTTTGGTATCGGCAGATAAATCTATAAAATAAATAGTTTTGTTAGTCTTTGACATTGACACTGGCCTCAAAACGTTTAGTAAATATATGTATATAGCGGAAGGTTCTCGGCCGGTCATCCGCAACGGATCACATTTGGTGTGTATGCAGTAACTCACAGTTTTGATGGCCCAACCAGGTTAGTTCAACAAGTACGTCCCAACTAGTACGTTTACCACTGATGTTTTAGAACATTACGAACACTTGAGAGAGGCTATACTTGAAAGTATAAATACAACATTAAACGAATTATACATCAACTTCGGATTATAACATAAATTGGCAACGAAAACGTCGCTATGTATGCGAGAGGTCACTGACGAATGAACCTTGATAATGCATATTTTAAATAACTTCTTTATCTAAGCTTTGTGGATTTTTTTGCCGCAGGTTATCCTTTGTCAAAGTCAAGAACTTGACCGACCCAGATTTTCAAACGATACTCCATAAATATTGTGAACCATAAAAACCCCAACATAAAAAAATGTGTTGAGTCAGAAATCACAGGACCACCCCTATTCTCAACAGCCCACCGATTACCTCCTAGAAAGTTAAGATTGTTTAATATGAAGTTCAAACATATAACAGATTTCGCAGTAATCCGATGATCGAAAAGCCTATGAGCATCTCCTTTCTTTATGGGACTCTTAATGATATCCAACTGAAGGTTATCAGTGAACTTGCATAAAAACCACTCAAGATCGTAACCTGACAACTGCACGGATAGATACAGCTGTCTTTTCAACGCCTAACTTAGTTAAGAAATACGACTAAATCCTTATGGCTATGAATGGTATCCATCACTCCTTTCGGATTCCACGAATTTTTGCGTTATAAGAAGTGCTGCGCGAAACGTCCAAAGGTATGTATCCAGAGGTAACAGCTTTTTGCACGTTCATCTTGAAAATAGCTTGATAGAAAATACGTAAAGAGAATATCATACCCATTATGTGGACCTCCTTTCCCAACGACCACGAAAACACCCTATAACTTTTAACATCATTATTCACAAACAGCTTATTAGTACATAAGTTATGTGAAGGAATCATTTCGAGTTTCCATCAGTGTGTGACTGTGAAATTTATTAAGTTTTGGATTGAATTAGTGAATTGATGAATGTTAGACCACTATTTAAAACCTGGAACAAATGGACGGCCGTCTCGTCCTGGTATGGGACTCCTCAGTAGTGCTCATCCATGATCCCGCACACGGGACTCCAATCCAGGACATCTGCGTCCTTGTGGATACGATTCTACGACACTGAATTCAGATAGGACTCTATGCTCAGAGAACTCCTAGTCATGTATTGCACCATACCGCACTTTCAATACTATGGAAGACCGAGAATTCAGTCTTTACACAGATCATTTCACAGTTTACTCCAGACAAACAATATGCTTCCGAAACAGACGATGTAGTTGTAGATGCCTTGTCTTGTATAACTTATTTGAACGGTTTCCAAAGAATCTACTCCCTTGAACTTGCTCATGTTAGAAAAGGACATCGACCTACTACAATAGTTATATTCTAAAACCACGAATCAAACACGTAGGAAAAGGTAGAAAAAACTTACCTTTCGACAGATATATAGCTAGTCTAGTTTCAGATTTCAAACACAGTCATTCATAGAAATCATTAGCATAAGCAAACTGAAAACTACCGTCGAATTTACCTTTCATGCACTCAAACACGTTCGATGAACTTCCGTCAACTATCAGTCCGAAATACGCATAATTATCAGTATTTTCACGTATTAAATGAGTAATAGATCATATGAATTAGTCGTATTACTAAGTACTGTCACCGTTTAATAATAATAATTTATTCTCAAATAACAGTTTGTTACATGAGGCAGGCCAATTTACAGGCAAGATCAAATTGTTACAAATGATACAACCTCCACTGTAGTAAATTACTCAGCTGGGTTGATAATTTATAAGATATGAATGTAGATGGTTTTAGTCAGTATCACAGTTGGCGCGCTTTATGAAAGTTGCGTTGCGACGTGCAACTGATGGTCAAGAGTAGATCCATTGAAGTCAATATCTGAGGTTATTTTACTCAGTAAAAAGTATTCATTAACTACTACCAACATCAGAAAACAATGATCAACTGGCGATCCTGGAACTACTCATTTCAACTGACTTGACCAGTTGAGAATATGCTGTACACACTAATCACCAAACACTCATACCGGGAAAGTACATCATTCACGAAAAAGAATACGCTCCCATGGCTCGTCTAAACGTTGAGGTGACTAGACATGCAAAAATAATATCTTCGCTCACTGATCCTGACACATGTGTTTGCAGTGTACATCTTGATGTCGAAGACCCTCAATTAAAACAGGATGGTATGTGTCCGTCACAACATATTTTCGTTACTTCCCAAAATGATTATGTGTCCGTCAAGCATATCAGTGCTGAAACACACTCGTAGTTTCGTCGACAATATAAATTTCCAACTTCGGCTACTTATTGGAAAATATAACTGACTGTGCAAGACATTTCAGAACTATTTTTCCCACCCTATTAGTAAGTCTGCTAGCAATCGGTATATTTTGTATCCACCACTAGTTTTCCTCTTACAATTCATTCCATCTAAGCTATACCCATGGGGAATTGAAAATTAGAGTTTAGAAGACAGATTACCGGCTAATAAAAGTGATTGTATCTCAACTGCTTAAAAAAATTATCTTTAAAATAGATTTTATAGGACAGTGTGGAAACAAGTTAGCGTTCTATATACATCATTAACTGTTCCGAAGATATCTTCATTACATTACATTGAAGTGATGAAGCTTAGACAAGCTGTTTTGACGACCGACTTCATAAGTCTCAATTTCTCATGTTGAACTTGAGTAGCTTCATTACTAAACCATTATTCATCTTAAACTTAAAGGTATAACAAAAGTCCATTCTACTGGAAAAATATTTTATCTCTTTATTTTTATCCAACAACAAGTCTTGATGAAAAGTAAACCAAGACTAATTACAATAGATTAGATGAGAAAGGGTACGACTGAGTAGAGATTTACAAGGGATTCATTTTATCCATTCACTTCGTAACAAAGCTAAACATAAACGTATATTCACTGATTTCTGTTTGAGTACATTTGACAAATCTGGAATATGAATAACTTTCGGGGCAGAAGCAATACGCATTTGACAGAAATCTTGACTGTAATCATTTTTCCATATTACACGTAGTAAATGATAACGCCAACTTTGTTGTGAAGCACACAAAATTTCCGGTAATGAAAATTCAAAAAGATCAGTTCCTGAATTTAAATTTGTTTCACTACTATTATTATTATTATTATTATGTAGATTAGTCGAATCCATTGTTGATTTAACTTCAATGAATATAGGACCAACAGACAGCAAACCTGATGTTCCAGATGATGTACTATCTTGTTGTTGTGATGGTCTACGAATAATTCGTACAATATTGTTAGTTATTTCATCCTTTAAGTTTTCAATTAATTTATCCCACTTGTTTGCATCACATTCAACTATGACAACAGAATATAAACAACTAGTTATTATATCATTAAGTAGTATAATCTAAACACAATTAAGTCAACGGAATGGCACAAGAAAATAAGATGAATAAAGATACATTTATCTCCGGTCTATGATGATAATTGGCGTTATTCAGTCAAATTGTTATACAAAAGTCGGGGATATCTGGTTACTTTTCTATAGTTTCAAGTAATTGATTTGATATGGAAACGATGTTACAATAGTAGTTACCAAAATAATTGTTATTATAAAACTGACATTAGATGAATAACCATTGTAAAACTAAAGAACACTCTCAGTGATAGTTACTTCGTTGAAAATTCAATTTTCTGTTAGGGTTGTACATCAACCACTTTAAATCACAAGATGAGACTTAAACGAGAAATGTAATGATGATCATAAACTGAAAAGAGTTCAGTTTACATTATATGATGATTTTAGTTAAACAATCATTGAAGACAAAGAAGGACTGGATAACTGGGTTTTTTTTTAAACTAGTAAACTCAACAGCAATGAACATCCACAACAAAAATCTTCGAGTTTCACAGTTAGTGTTTAACTTTTGAAGCTCTGAGTTAGCATAATAGTTTACATTGCTAACGTCATTGAAGTAGCGATATGATACAACACACAACAGAATGACATTAGCGAGTAACTGAATCACACTGTACATGGGTGAATTCTACTGAAAATGGTTTCACACCAGAACTCTTTAAATTACTTCCCAAAATAAACCGTTAATAACTACAGAATTGCTTAATTCTCCTCTACAATAGACAATAATGGATGTAATAAGAAAGAATTAATATGACTTCAATTACCTTGAACATCCACCTCAAGATCATATGGTTTCATTGATTCCACATCAGAATTACACCAATTACATCGAATTAATCGTCCAATACCAAGTAAAGGATGTCCAGTAGGAAAATCACAACTTGTAATTTCATCAAAATTACTATGATGAATTTGTGTACGATGAATAGAATTAATTAATGTATGATAAATATATAATTCACCCATACGACCAATATTAGTAGATTTGTCAGTAGTATTTGCAAGCATACGATTTAAACGAGTTGTTAAATTATCTGGAATCATAGTATTTTCATCATTTAACCAAAATGTTGTTTTATAATGAGTTTTATCGATTGATTGACTAGTTTCTTTAGAAAGACGAATAAATGGCATGGTACCAGCACTAATAGCTAAATTTAATAGATAAGAAAAGAATCAAACAGAAAAATTAAATCAATACGTAGAGTTCTATTATAGCATCTCTTATACAAATGGTGGAGAAGATTTATAGCTCAAGTGGATGATTTTGACGGAGTTTTGTTCTCTGAGCTGAATGGTTTGTTGATCGATAAAAGGATCACCCTACCATATATAAATGGCCTATCAGAAACCGCAACGAGACTGCTAAAAACCTTCGGGATAGGTGTGGCACATAAACCGACAAAATCACTACAATCGATCCTATGCAAACCAAAGGATGATTTATTTATTTTAACATATAGATATTGGTATATGGAGGCAAAAAATACACATGCGCCACACAGATCTCGTTTGATATATGTGAGGGCTGTGATACTGAGCGGATGCCCAAACCGAAGCAGGTGGTTTCCGTAGGGTGCCACACCCCGAGCCTTCGACCTGAAGATCTGATCCACAAGGCAGTGGAGCATCGTAAGGAGATGCAGCCCCATGGTAGCCGGTCCCCAACAATTGGTTCATACGCCATTTATTCCTTCAGGATTCTGGAGCCCATGTGCACTATTGGTTTGGGATCCAGCCGGATATACGCTTTTCGTCCTCTGATTTTCGTAAACAACACTCCCTCCACGAGAAGGCCGTGAGTAGGACTTCCCTGGCAGAGGCAGTATACGCGTGGCCATGTGAGAGTATTTCGAGAGGGAGGGCGGACTCTCCCCACCCTCGACAGTACCAGGGCATTTGGGGGCAACCAAGGGATGAAATAACAAAGGAAGATAAATCAAACATCATCTATAAATTGTGCCAACTGCGACAAACATTACATCGGACAAAGCGGACGCTCCCTTCACCTTCGCCTACATGAACATCAATTAGCAGTCAAACGCTATGATATTTCCTCACTTATATCAATACACGTGGACAACTGAGGACACTCATTCGATTGGAAAAATGTGGAAATCTTGGACAGAAGAAATTCCAAAAACACCAAAGCATTTTTAGAAACCTGACACTCAGGTCAATCAGCAATCAACAAACACATTGAAATCGATCTAATTTATCAATCAATCAGGAAAATTATGCACAAACATAGGAACACAAATCAAACCAATGGGAGACACAACGAAAAGAAAGACGTAAACAATGACAGATTTAAGGTCAATAAGAACCAATCAACATCGAGGTGTACAGAACAAGCTGTGAAACGCATATAGAGAAATTCGAACACTTCACTTTTATCTGAAGTTTGTGCTGATGATGTCGTTTAGAAGAACGATGAAAGCTCCACGACCAAACCATCCAGTTCAGAGAACAAAACTCCATTAAAATCTCTTATATAATTGAATTTAATTATGGTTAATTTTGTCAAACCACTCATTCAATTGACTTACTTAACAGACAGTGTTATTTCAATATCGAGGATAACTCACTGACTCGTTCGAAGTAAAGACCAGTGTCAGATAAGGTTACTTACTCTCACGCTTTCTCTTTCTCCTGGTGAGTGATTGGATCATCAAGATTTAAACATCTGAGGAGAAGCATGGGATACAGTGGACAGCTAGGTGCAGTTGAATGATCTAGACTTCGCAGATGATCTGGCTCTTCTATGGTACGCAACAACAAATACAGAAGACGACCAGTGTAGCAGCAGACTACGTGCATAATTCTCACTCTACCTCAAATGTTAATTGCTCAAATATCGCTCGATAAACCATTTGCTTTCATATATATATATATATATATATATATATATATATATATATATATATATATATATATATATATATGCTTGAATCTTATTAATTGCTTATCTTCGATCCGATTTGACTCTGAATCCGCTTGCTCGAGCGCATTAGCCTTCCTGCTCAAAATTGCTTGGTGTGTTTGTAACTTTGTTATCTACACTGGCCAATAATAAACTGTAGTCGGCGCTTCTTGTTGCTACCTTGACGTGGTGGTCGGGCTTGCCTATCGTGATGAAGCAACTGAGCTATACTGGCTGGAACAACCGTTCCTCAAGGTCCTACCATGCCAAACAGGTCGGTTGAAGAGCGTTAAGACTAAAAGCAACAAAACCTAGGTCCAAAGGCGAAGTCGTACTGCTGATTGTACAGAGGTGTGACAGCAGTAAGGTGTTTCCTTCAGACAACCAGCATGACAGCGATGCTGCCTTCCCACAAGGAGGGGTGGGGTTAGGAAAGGTCGACCCTAAAAATGCACACCTCGCCTTATCCCACGGATATCCGTCTCCGGCGGTAAGGACTCAACAAGTACGGAGCTAACACAAAAATCACTCGTAAAAAGGTCGTGTGTGACCGACCTCAAGCAGCTGTCCCTTGGGCACTGCGGTCACGCTCTCAGGTCACTATGACCACCTTTAATCCAATTTCCTTATCAGGTACCTCCAGCAGAACCCTTCCACGGTGTGGGCAACCGGGAAGTGATAACCGCCCTCATACCTCTACCAGCACTCAAGACCACTGTATTCATCGTCAACCTCCCTCTTCAATTCCTATTATTCCTCCTGCATCGACTTTATACATTAAACTTCCTCTTTTAGCTTCCTCCTCAAGTGTCACCACAGCCAACGATTCTAGTGCGCAAAACACTGTCCCAGGTCTACTGAAACCTCGCTCCAAACTACACATCAGAGCCTTCAACGTACACACACTATGCCAAATCGGTCAGCAGGCTTCCTTGGCTAAAACCTTAGAATCTCGTACCATTGATGTATGCTGTGTCTCCGAAACACGCATACAGGATCCTAATGTGGTCATTCACTTGACCTCACCTCGGCAAAACGGAGTGCCGACGAGATACACCCTCCGTGTATCTGGCGACCCGATGGCTAGTTCTCGTGGACTGGCAAGTGTAGGCATAGCACTTAGCATGAGGGCGGAACAAGCGCTATTAGAGTGGATCCCCGTTAATAGTCGTCTATGCGCTGTTCGGCTAAACGACTCCGTAAGAACTCGAAAGGATAGGGACACACGTCGTTGCCTTTTCGTCGTTTCTGCCTACGCTCCCACTGACTGCAGTTCGGATGAAGTGAAAGATGAATTTTACTGAAAGCTGTCTGAACTTCTTCAGAAAGCTAAACGTTCAGACATAGTACTCGTAGGAGGTGATTTTAATGCCCAGGTAGGTAGCTTAAACAAAACAGAAAGACATTTAGGTGGGTATTTTAGTATTCCGGCACAGCGAACAGATAATGGTGATCGTCTGCTGTAACTGTGCTCAGACAATCGTTTATTTTTAGCAAACACAAATTTTAAGCATAAGGAGAGACATCGTCTAACATGGCGACCCCCTGCACCAGACTAACGATGGACTCAAATAGACCATATTGCCATCAGTCATCGTTTGAGAGGGTCAATAGAAGATTGTCGCTCATTCTGGGGTACCTGCTTGGACTCTGATCATGCCCTAGTACGAGCACGCATCTGCTTGCGCCTCACTGGACGCAAAAGAGCCACACAAAAAAGACTCATTAGAACCGAATTGAGTAATGAGAAAGCCAAAAGTAGGTTCCAGGAACAACTGAGGTCACACTTAGGTAGTTCTGAAAACGAGACTGACCCAGATGTTGCTTGGAAAGTTATACAAGCAGCTGTGGAAACAGCAGTGACATCTACCAGTGATTTAAACCACAGGGTTACAAAGAACCAATGGATTTCGTCAAGGTCTATTGCACTGATAGATTCTCGCTAACTCATCCCATCAGGTTCTGAACACGATGAAGAGCGTAAAGAAACCAGATCTATATTAAGCAAAAGTCTAAAGAATGATCGTGAGAAGTGGTGGGCAACGAAAGCAAAAGAGATGGAAAAGGCGGCGGCTATAGGGAACACAAGACAACTCTACAGACTAATAAAAGAAACTGGAATTATTAAGTCAAGTGTAAGTCAGACTATTTCGGAAAAAGATGACACTCTCATCTGCTCCCAGTCCAGACGCTTAGAACGATGGGCGGAACACTTTAACGAGCAGTTTAGCTGGCCTTCAGCTACTCTACAACTACCCTCTATTCCCAGACAGTGTGAATGGAACATTGAAGCAGGTCCCCCATCTCTAACTGAAGTTCAAAAGGCTATAGCTAATCTGAAACGAGGAAGGGCAGCTGGTCCAGATGGATTGGCCCCAGAGGTCTTTAAAGATGGTGGTCTAGTTTTAGCGACTAGGTTGACTAATATTATAGCTAAAATCTGGGAGTTAGACGTTATCCCATCTAACTGGTCACAATCACTTATCGTCCCAATATTTAAGAAAGGGTCAAAATCATCCTGTGATAACCACAGAGGGATTAGTTTGACTAATATAGTATCTAAAATACTAGCTTCGATTATTTTCGGACGCCTAACTAAGACTCGTGAACTGCAAACACGTGAAAATCAGGCTGGCTTCAGACCTGGTCGTGGCTGCATCGACCACATATTCACCATTCGTCAGGTTCTAGAACACAGGCATACTTATCGGCGTCCGACAATGGTGGTATTCCTTGACTTAAAAGCAGCGTTTGACTCTGTTGACCGAGAGGTTCTGTGGCAGTGTCTGTCATTGAAAGGCGTACCTCAGAAGTACATAAACCTTGTGAAGGCTCTTTACTCGAACACTACTAGTCGGGTCAGAGCCTATGGCGAACTGTCATCCTCTTTTGCAACCTCAAGTGGGGTCCGTCAAGGCTGTCCACTTTCTCTTTTTTTGTTTAACTTTATCATAGACATCCTGATGGAAATAACGCTCTCATTGACTGAATTCTCGGGTATTGATCTCCTACCAGGAGGTCCACTTATTGACTTAGAATACGCAGATGACATAGTCCTGTTTGGTGAAGACGCTGATGAAATGCAGTCTTTTGGTAGCACTGAGCAACAATGCTAGAATGTTTGGGATGCGCTTTTCTCCCTCTAAATGCAAGTTGTTGCTTCAGGACCGGTCTGCATCAACACCTGAACTAAGGATAGGGAGTGAAGTAGTCGAACGCGTCGACAACTTCACTTATCTTGGAAGTCTGATCAGCCCTAATGGGTTGGTGTCTGACGAAATCTCAGCACGGATTCGAAAAGCTCGTTTGACTTTCGCCAACTTACGTCATCTATGGCGAAGGCGAGATATCCGTCTATCAATTAAGGGACGAGTATACTGCGCGGCAGTTCGTTCCGTCCTTCTATACGGCTGCGAAACATGGCCTTTGAGAGTAGAAGATATTCGTAAGTTACTAGTATTTGACCACAGGTGCCTTAGAAATATTGCGGGTATCTGCTGGGATCACCGGATAAGTAATAGTGAGGTTAGACGCAGGGTACTAAGGAATGATGGTAAATCAGTTGATGAGGTTATGAATCTTCATCGACTGAGATGGTTAGGCCACGTTCTGCGTATGCCTGAACATCGATTACGACGACGCGCAATGCTAACTGGTGTTAGGGATGATTGGACGAAAGTTAGGGGCGGCCAAACCAAAACGTGGCACCAGTGCTTGAAGTCACTAACTTCTGGTCTGAGCCATGTTGAAAGATTCAGACTGCCTGGTTGGAGTCCGCGTGACTATCATAACCCATGGTTGGAGACTCTTGGTGACATGGCTCAGAATCTATCACAATGGCGTAGGTGTATACACTCTCTGTCTTACTTTAAATTAAGGGATTAAAATCACTTCAAATCTTTCTTTCTACGAACTAATTCTTTCTTCCTATACTATCTCCTTATACACAATCTTTCTTCCATATATTACCACTACTGAATTAACTACTTTTATGAATCTGGTGTTCATCTTGTTGTGCTAATGCGGTATGGCAACTTGGACCGATGCATATACGTGCCTGGTCCTACGTTGCAGCTGACTGACGGTGATTGATAAATGAACCCTAAGGAATTATCTCGAAACCAAAGTACTACAATATGATCAGTGCTATGTGATTGTAACAGAGAACTTGATACAAGTATAATCGTCAGTTGACACTTAACTTAAATATGAACCAAGAAATTATGAATTATAAACTGAATAAATAAAACTGTACTTGGATAATAGGAAAATTTTGATTAATCAATTGGTAATTTATCAGTTAAATTAGCTAGAAAGAAATACATGATAAAAGACTTAACATGATTTCCTGCTAATTACCACTAATCATTGAATAGAGATGATAGTACTCAATTCAATTAATCAGTCAAATACAACGTAAAATCCGATATATGTATACATTGCTTCAAGTTGCTATATCCTATTCATACAGTGAGATGAGATGAAATTTTCAGAGCAAATTTCCAGAGTAATAAAGGTAATAACACTATCAGTGATAATAGGAAGGATTAAGCATCAAATATATAGCTCAATGAAAGATAAATTAGTTAAGAAAAGATTATGAGAAATTTAAAATCTGGACGGGAGAAGAGTGAATGTACTTGAGCTATTTCAAACAATTTTAAGCTACGTCATTCAAGGTCCCTAACCATTGGGTTACAATAATCATCTTTTAACACGGTTAAGTCCAATGTTAATGTTTTCATGAACTGGTGCTATATTTTTGTTTGGCCACCATTAGCTTTCTTCCAAAATAGTAATACACTAAACAACACTGTACATCGAAGTCATCGGTGGTTGGGAATACGTAACACCTGTGTCAAGTATCCAATGAGTAGATCAAAGATCTACAAAATATCATTTTAATTTGACCAAGCGGAGAATATCATTAGAAAATTTCACCATTAAACATACATATTCACTAATAAACAATAATAACAAAATAACACAACATACCTTGCATAGCACTAAGTGTTGTATCATATCGTGTACTAGTAGTAGTAAATGTTGATGATTTCGGTGGTATTACCTCGGAAGAATTCACTGAAATCAATTGTTGATTATTATTAATACTCTGATTAGTTAATACTATGTTATCACTACTATTAGTACTATTACTACTAACAGATAAATCAGTAGTTTGATTGTTTTGATGACATTCCATTCCTTTTGATGTTGTTAATGTTGACGATGGTGGTGGCAGTAATGGAGGGCATAACAATTGTAATTCATGTTTAGCTTTACGTTGTTTAACACCATGTGATACAAGATAATTTTCTAATTGACTTAGAAAAGTTAAATTTAAATGTGGTTGATTTATAAAGACTGTTATATCAGTTTGAATGGATAAAGCTAAATTAATGAAACCTTGAATGAATTGCCTGGAAAATAAAAAAAACAAAAACAAAAGACCACTTTTCAGGTAATTGATCAAAACACACTGAAATTATTGAAAACCAGCAAGACCTGAGAAGATTTGTAGTCTAGATGATGATTACTTTTGACTAACTGTGTCTTCTCTCTGAGCTTAGTGATTAAATTTAAACTCTTACATTGTCATTCTGGATAAGATAATCAGAGCTTACTTCATATAAAAATGAGCTGCATAATTAATAGATAAGCGCTAAACCAACCTGTTTTGAGTGGTTACTGTTATATCCTAGTGAAGATTAGATTACGGGTAATTCCCGAGGTCTATTAATGAACTAATATTATCTATATATTCTTATGCTATAATTGTTCAGTAAGTAGATTATGTATATCTATATTCCCCTTGTTATAAGCTTTATTTTGACCTATAATTTATTATTGTACGATTTACTATTCTTAAGTTATACTCAGTTTATTGACTACTGTCCCCGACGTTCATAGCCACTTTTTGGCTTTATTATATACAAATGTTATTTCCTATTTTATGGTGCGTTACAGTCTGTTTGTTTGATATATAAACAGAGTATGTTTGAAATATATGATTCGATTCGTCTTGATTCGCATAGTGGAAGCTGGTATTGGTGTCCTGAACTCAAGTGGATGGGCTAGGCGAACATAAGACCAATAAGAACTCTAGGCTGGTTATACCGGTCGAACGTCATTGGTTTGGCACAGTGCTAAGATTGTATAAGTCGTATTTTGATTGGTGGATAAATCACGTGATAACTAGACGGATATAAAGTCACAACAGTTGTTCCCCGATGTTTTATTAGTTTTTTTCGTTTACTTCTCTCCCATTTTTTTTCTGTTGACTATTGATCAGGTAATCGGTTTATCATTTTCTTATAGGTTGGTATATTTGACAAATGTTTATAAGCTTACTGATTACAAGTTGACCTGAGTTCCATACTTTCAGAAATTCACTACAATTGTTTGAATTTTCTCGATTTATAACTTGGCAGCTTTCTCAATCCAATTCGTTTTTGTAGACATCGATATGCGCTGATACGTGTGATATATAGTTATACCGCTAGATGACAGATATGTATAGGCAGATAAAGAAGCGATCCACATTGTTCAAGGTAGTATTTACCATACTTGAAGCAATTTATTTAGTAAATGATAGTAAATTTGTTTCCTTTTCACTGTTGTGTTTCTGTTAACTTGTGATCAACTTTGATTTTCAAAGGTTTTTTAAAATCCTTGTGATGATTTTTTGGAAATTTCTCAAATGACAGAACCATTTGTTTTTTGGAGATAATTTTGTGTAGTTGTCATGGATGTGAAGGCTGCAGTGAGTTTTCGAGATATGTAGTACACATCTTCCAACTATCTCAGTTGATAAACATCTAATCAAGTTTTGTCGAATGATTTCTATTCTTTACTTAGGACCCTATAACTAACATACATACACAAGTAACGTATCGAAGATATTCGTGATTGAATACTAGTAGCATATCCATACGCTTTTATCTCAATAGAAAATGTTTTATCGAATAAAACAGCTAGGACTGTTGAACAGTATACTCATTCAGTGATAAGTAGACAGATATTTTGTGTATAATATGGTAGAATTTTTACTGGTTCCAACAAAGAAAACTGACCAGTATGGGGATGTGGAGATCATTAAATTATTGATTACAATCATGAACCGATTGATGTTAGACCACCATTGAAAACATGGAAGCACTGAACGGCTGTTTCGTCTTATTGTTGGAGATTAAACATTAACACCGGTCAAGTAGGTTCAGTGTTCTCGCGCGAGACTGAAGGCTCTAGGTTCGAATCTCGCGGGAAGCAGGATCGTGAATGCGCATTACTGAGGAGTCCCACAATAGGACGAAACGGTCATCCAGTACTCCCAAGTTTTCAATGGTAGTCCAACATTAAACGGTTCATGATCTCAATTTAAAAAAAACTTAATTAATGTCTTATTTATTGTTAAAAACAATTACATGAAAGATTAAATCACAATATCAATCAAATAAAACTCCGCCTGGATTCCATTTCAGGGGGCTACTGCCGGTCCCAAGCCCGGATAAAGAAGGAGAGTTGGGCATAGGGTTAGCGACCCCATCCCGTAGAAAAATAACTCGCTAAAAAAAAAAGAACGCTAACCAGAAAAAAATTATCAATCAAATAAAATCACATTCAATTGTAATTAAACTAACGTTAAGCTAATCTTTTTCAATCCACCATATGGACAAATAAAATCAATAATTTGAGATAATAATGAATTATCAATAGAATCAAAACCAATTGAATATTTCAATAATGGATCATTCATAGAACCCAAAAGTAGATAAATTAATTGTGTACTATCATTTGATTGTATTTGTGATAAATTAGCAAATATATTAGCACCTAAAGTACTATCAAGATATAATTTCCCATTTAATAAACAACCAATAAAACGTTTTGATAAATCTATATGAGTATTTAATAAGATATTTGAATAGAATGATGTATTATTAAATGATAAAGCAATTTGTAAATGATCAACCTGAAAGAAAATAAATGAACAAAATGTTAAATTAAGTAAGAACAATGTTATTAAAACTGTTAAGAGATAATTTATTGAATTCATTGTGGAATAAGCTAAGACAATGATCGAGATGTACTAGTGTTTTAATAAATTCATCAATGTATTTTCCAAACTGCTTAATTTTTAGTTTAAAAAAAAAACAACATATGAGGTTTTTTTTTATGGTCTGTTGCTATCTTGATGTGGTGGTCGAACTTGTCTATCGTGATGAATCAATTGAGCTATACTGGCTAGAACAATCGTTTCTCAAGATCCTACTATAACAGACAGGTCGGTAAGACTAAAAGCAACAAATCCAAGGTCCAAGAGTGAAGTTGCACTGCTAACTGTACAGAGGTATGACGGTAGTAAGGTGTTACCTTCAGACAACCAGCATAACAGCGATGCTGCCTTCTCACAAGAAGGAGTGTGGTTGAAAAAATCGACCTGAAAACTGCCACACTTCATTTTACCCCATGAATTCCAGTCTACCGCAGTTAAACTTTTTATAGTGTGGCGCTAAAATATCAAAATCTTCCCATAAAAAGGCTGTGCGCGTGACTGAATGCAGTTGGCGAGAAACAACCTCGTAACATTCAAGTGATGTGAACGGAGGTAAGTCAAGTCTATCATAAAAATGGAGAGTATTTAAAAGATGGAAAGATTGATGTACCTTGAATTTTGTAAATTACAGTTTCTATGACCGTATTCTATAATGTTTACTGTATAGAATATATATATTACTAAATGTGATGGTACATAATATAGTGAAGGACAAACAGTGTAGAAGTATGACTTTTAGGGTTACCATACGGAGAACAATTATTTGTATTGATATTGTATAATAAGTGTACGTGTGTATTGTTGTATTCTCATATTTTCCTATTTCTAAGCTCTCGTTTGACCTAAAAATTGTTGTTGGATATCATATTGTTCAAGATTTACGATGAATTAACTTTTCCCTCATTACTCCAGTTTTTTATCGCTTATGACTAAAGTTAAGTAAACATTGTAATTCCTTAATTGTGTTACTGTATAGCCAGATATGTCAGGTATATTAATGTATGGCTTTTATAACATGGTTGAATTGAATACAATAGAGAACTGATCTGATTTCCATCTTTGTATTCTGACTGGCCACTAAATCAGAAGGACTTTGAAGAACAACAGAAGGTCTTCATTGCTATTCATTCGAGGGTGTGTATCAATCCGAAAATAAGTCACCAATCTTTCTTGCCATACAGATGAGCTATTCTATAGTCGGATTATAAATATGTATATATTTATATATAATCCAAATGCGTTTATGTCGTCATGTCCACTCAGTCAGTCAGTCAGTAACAACGTATAACATCGTACGTTGGTACGTAAACCAGTTCGAGTTGGCACACCATATTAGCACAGAGATTCAGTTATCGATTCAAATCCCGTAGTGGTAGAGGTAGTGAAAGTATAAGTAGTGACAGGGAACATTAGGGTTTGATGATGTTATTTAAGGAGTATAATCCAACGGAATAAATTTGGAAAGAAAATAAACGACATGAAGAATTCAGAAGATTAGAGTTTGAGAGGACATAAGGAGTTGATGCACCAGCGCACACCATTGCAAACGATTTTCAGCCATGTCATTCAAGGTCTCTAACCATCGGTCGCTATCATCTCGCGGTTCCCAACCAGGTAGTCTACATCTACCAACATGGCTCAGTCCACTTGTCAGTGACTTCATGGATTTCTGACATGTCTTGGTCTGGCCGCCACTACCTTTCTTCCAACCTACTTCTACACCAGAAAACATCACACTCGGGGCAGTCGCTGGTTGGGCATGCGCAACACATGTCCCAGACATCTCAAATGATCAAGTTTCACTACTTCATCAATTGATTTGCCATCCTTAACTAGTACCCGTTTCTTGACAACTGCATTACTTACTCGGTGGTCCCACGATATACGAGTAATGCTTCGAAGACACCTATGATCAAATACTAGTAACCTACGAATATCCTCTACTCTTACCGGTCATGTTTCACTGCCATAAAGTAGAACGGAACGAACTGCTACGCCACAAATGACGCAAGTTGGCAAAAGTTATTCGAGCCTTCTGTATCCGTGCTGAGATTTCGTCACACACCAGACCACAAGGGCTGATGAGACTTCCAAGATAAGTGAAGCGTTCGACACGCTCGTCACGTCCAGATCACACAAAACCTAATAGAGCCCAAGTAAGAAATCGTTTTTCCCCGACATAACAGTAAATATAATTTAACAAATCTCCAGTCATTTTTAGAAATTTTTATGATATAAAACCTTACCAGAAAAGCATTAATCTCTTTTGATTCCAAAATTCCATTCACTATATTTTCATCGATTGGATTCTCTGATGAATTAGTATGATGACTGATAGTATTTGATGAAGAATGAATTGTTGAACACCACCATAATAGAATTAAACGCATTAAACCTCTTAAAAACATATCTAATGCACGACATGGTATCATGAAGGAATCCGTTTGAAAACTGGTAGTTGGATTAGAATAATAATTAATAGTCTTAACTTGATGATGATGATGTTTGATGAACAATTCACTGACATGATCAACAACCTGTGTATACAAGATAAGAAAATTTTTTTTTAATGGCAATCCAGTAAACACTTGAAACACAATTCAACAATCTTTCTTTTTCTTGTAGTGATTTTTGCCCCCGAATCCCTTGGTATGGCCGAGAGTGGGGAGGGCCCACCTTCCCTCTCGAAATGCTCTCACGTAGCCACGTGTATATAGCCTCTGACAGGGAAGTCCTACTCACTGCCTTCTCGTGGAGACGCTTTAAGCGGATCCAAAACCAGTGGTGCACATGGACTCCAGTATCCTGAAGAAACAAATGGTGTATGAACCAAACGTTGGTCACTGGCTACCATGGGACTGCATCTCCTCACGATGCTCCACTGCCTTGTGGATCAGACCTTTAAGTCAAAGGCTCGGGGTGTGGTTCCCTAAGAAAACCACCTGCTTCGGTCTGGGCACCCGGATAGTATTACAGCCCATACACAAACAGAATGAAATTTGTGTGGCGCATATATATTTGGTGCCATCTTGTACCAATATTTATGTGAACAACACTGAATTTGCTAATTTAATGAGTGTACATACTCTAACGATTAATTACCAACGTAAAATTCCTATCTGCTTCTAAACTAGTTAATTAACAACGTCGTATTAACTACTTAAGTACGTTATATTTTTTGTGACCCATTAGACTTACGTAATTAATGTACATGTCATACAATAAAGTAATCTAGTTATTTGATCTTAATGTGTACATGATTAAGACTGAGTACTTATAATTTAAAAATGACATGAAAGAATTTTGTGCTGATGATAACGTTCAGAAGAACGATGAAAGCTCTACGACCAAAACATCCAGCTCAGAGAACAAAAACGTCACGAAAATTAATGAGCCAAATGAAAGTATGCAATTAAGATAATATAAGAATGTTCACTGTTTATTACACGATATATAGAAAAAGTATATAAAACTGATTCTTCAAAAAACAGTTTCCAAGATTTCACAATTTCATTTTCCTAAGCATTCATCTAACACTTGTAAACTATTAGCTGAATGGCTTTCTGATATCCTAATTTAGGGATGTGATCGGTCTGTTGATGGGAAGATGAAAACAAAGTTGGTGAATTAAGCTCTCAAAAAAAAACAAGTCAACTAGAAATACCTGTATAATCGACTCTGACTTAAACACTGTTACATTGGTAGAACAGAAAGGAAAGCCTACGTCCAATTTAAAGAACGTATTCCGAAGAGTTTGAGATCGAACGGACTAAAAGCATTCAGCAGTGCTATCGCAAGACATCGCCTTGACATATGACATGAAGTCGATACACTAACGTCGTTCAAGGTGATTAACAAATAATCAAACTACAACCTTTTGAAATTTGCCGAAGTTATAGCAATCAAACGTCTAAAACCAGATCTATGTATATAAAAGGGAACTATGTGTATTATAAACACTGTGAGACAGATTATATCGATTTCAATGAAAAATAAAACCTATGATTTAAGCACTTTAAACATTTTCTAAGTTCTGAGAAAGATGAAGACATTCTCATTGATAATTATTGGCATAAAAACAAATTATACTGAAATGTTGAGTTAGTTAGATTGATACAATACAAATTCCAAAACAGATAGAATTTAGTTAGTACGAATTTGACTGAAAAGAATGACATTAATCAATATCTAACGCTACAAGCACTCAATAACTCCGCGAACGAGTTCGCCGAAGATGGATAAAGGCTGAAAATACTTCGTTCAATCAATGTTCGAAAGGATCTTCCTAGAGAAACCAAGAACACGATGAAGTGTATTAACTATTCTGATTGGATAACTACAAATTTTGTTGTCAATTTCAGTATATTTCGAAAATACTCTGGGAAATCAGAACCACACATAACACTAAATATGTTATTGTTTTCTGTTCCTGAATTAATCTTCGATATAAGGTTCTTTTCATACTTCTTCCTGGATTTTGTTCTTCCGTTTGGAGCTCAAGTGTAGGAGATTTATAGGGAAATAAAAAGCAATTGTAGAAAGTATTACGAGTTTCAGTATCAAATATATCACACAGAAATCAATTACTGTTAATGTTTGTTATATCTGAAAGGTTATTTACTTGATATACCGCGTATAACTGAGCACTAGAACGCCAAAACCCTTCCAAGTCGCAAAGAGAAGGCAGAAGACTAATGAAATGAACATTATTTCAAACAGTGTCAATTATAGTACAAAATTGTCAGGTATTTATAGTTTTTAGTAAGAACGAAATCATCATTACAGTCCTCCAATCTCCATATAGGGGGTTATTATCTTAGTACGATAACCCCGTCGCTAGTTGTTATATCTAGAAAGTTGTTTACTTGATATACAGCGTATAACTGAGTACTAGAACGTCAAAACCCTTCCAAGTCGCATTGTCCAATCGGGAAGCTACACATAGGAATTTTAGAATATTCTTCCGAAAGGTGATTGGATGGAATATATTTGCCACCTTCTGAGCCTCTTACAGCTTCCTCGAGTTCACCCGTGGTCCGTCGTCACAATATCTCATTCCTAAAACATGAGGTCAGTCGCTGTGCATACGGGTGAATCAAAATACTAGTCAATATTTCATTTGTTGTAAGTTAAACGGTTCCTATATACTAGGCATATAAAATTCATATCTTTCTATAATATGCTTTCTGACGACGAATTTTGAGATAGTGTAGGAACTACAAAATCCAACAATCTTTGAAACTCACTGACGTTAAGTAAAATTACTCTCTTCAGAATAAGCATTGAGAAAAAAACAACAGAAAAACAAATATGAACTAACCGGTAAACTGAACAAATCAAGAAGTAGACCATGTACAGTTCCTTCACGACAATAATACTGTACAGCTGATGACGATGATGATGATGTAAGCTGATCCAGCAGAAAAGAAGTAGAAGTAAATACTGTTTTTGTTGAAAATGAAGACATTTTAAAACTATTTCCAGTATATCTTGCATTTAGACAATTTAAACTATGCGCCATTATACGAATGATTGGATCGGATGAAATATTATTTCCATCAACATTATTTTTACTAGTATTCCATTGTTTCCAGTTAATTTCATGAATTAAACGAGCATGTATAGGTTTAGACCAAGCAAATAAATAAAGTTTATTACTTTGATGATTAATAGTATCATTATTGTTATCATTGTTATCACCATTATCATCATTCGTCGAAGTGGAGGTCAATGTAACAATCTAATAAGTAAATGAAATAAAATAAACAATTCAATTCAGTTTTCATTACTGACATATACAACTGTCATTACTGTATAAATTACAACTGATGAATAAATGTGATATTTATGATTATTTTTATTGTTATCATTGTTAAAGTGTTTTTTCTTTTGTTTAGTATTCAGAAATGAATTTCTTGAGTCCCTATTGATAAATTAGATCTTTAAGTGTAAGTCCCCATATTGACTGCAGATAAACATTTTCGATAATCTTCATAAATATGATTAGCAGTGGAATTAAGAATGTGCGTATTATCCCATTTGGGATTCATCAATTGGATCTATCTACATTCTGATATTGATATTCATATCAAAAGTTGATCACAGTACCAGTCACTAACACTGGATTCATTAGCTTAATATGTGCCGCGATGATGCTGGAGGAGATAGGTACTGTGTTCAAGTGTCAGTGTGAACATTAACATATATATATATATATATATATATATATATATATATATATATATATATATATATATATGGTGAACGTAATATTTCTAAAGCTCATGTAAGTCAGTCAGTCAGTCAGCAACAACGTAGAACCTCGTACGCACGTACATCAGTTCAAGTTGCCATACCAGATTAGCACAGAGATGCAGTTATCGATTCAAATCCCGTAGTGGTAGAGGAAGTGAAAGTATAAGTAGTGATAGGGAACATTAGGGTTTAAAGATGTTATTCAAGGAGTATAATACAGTGAAATGAATTTGAAAAGGAAAAAGAGACATAAAGAATTCAGAAGATTAGAATTTGGGAGAACACAAAAAGTGGATACACCTGCGTCATTCCAAACGATTTTGAACCATGTCATTCAAGGTCTCTAACCATCGGTTGCTATCATCTCGCGAACCCCAACCAGGTAGTCTACATCTACCAACATGGCTCAGTTCACTTGTCAGTGACTTCATGGATTTCTGACATGCCTTGGTCTGGCCGCCACTAGCTTTCTTCCAACCTACTTCTACACCAGAAAACATCACAATCGGGGCAGTCGCTGGTTGGGCATGCGCAACACATGTCCCAGACATCTCAAATGATCAAGTTTCACAACTTCATCAATTAATTTGCCATCCTAACCTAGTACCCGTTTCCTAACAACTGAGTTACTTACTCGGTGGTCCCACGATATACCAGCAATGTTTCGAAGACACCTATGATCAAATACTAGTAACCTACGAATATCCTCTACTCTTACCGGTCATATTTCACTGCCATAAAGTAGGACGGAACGAACACGTCCTTTGGTTGATAGACGGATATCTCGACTACGCCACAAATGACGCAAGTTGACAAAAGCTAGTCGAGCCTTCTGTATACGTACTGAGATTTCGTCACACACCAGACCACAAGGGCTGATGAGACTTCCAAGATAAGTGAAGCGGTCGACACGCTCAACTACTTCACTCCCTATCACTAGTTCGGGTGGCGGTGCAACCCAATCCTGAAGTAACATTTTGCATTTCGGTCGGTAGAATCGCATCCCGAATATGCCTGCATTGTTGCTTAGAGTGGTCAGAAGACTCTGCATTTTGTCAGCATCTTCAGATCAGATTTACAATAAAGCTATGCACAAATTCCTCAACCAAATCATCTTCCAACCAGTTCTCTTAACTTTGTACATGATCTTGTTTGCAAACCTTAAAACATGTTCAAGTCATAAAATTTGGTGTCTCAAAATAGGGACACGAACTGAATCATTATCATAAAGCCTAAAAACACACTACCAAATTTTCGCATTACTAACACGGCATTGCTACTGGATGTTACCATTTCTTCAGGAACAAAAATGATGAAGTATAGAGTCACTGAACATCCTCAAATCAAAACGTCCGAGATTCTGAATTACAGAGCAGAACTATTATCATTCAATTAAAATAGCATTATAACGGAGTCAAAAATGGGTTAGAGTACTATTAGTCACTCTGACTTTCACTGTGTGTACATTAATTTCATCTGTCATGTCAAGAAGGTACAAGTATTTATCAATAGCTGTCTACGCAAGATACTCAATATCCATTGGCCGGATACCATCAGCAACAGCGTTCTCTGGGAGAGAACAAACCAGCTTCCAGCTGAAGAGCAAATTAGCAAAAAACGATGGAAATGGATAGGACGTACATTGAGGAAATCATAAAACTGCATTACGAGGCAAACCTCAACTTGGAATCCTGAAGGAAAGTGGAAAAGAGGAAGGTCAAAGAACACATTACATCGGGAAATAGAAGCGGATATGAAAAGAATGAATAACAACTGAAAAGGATTGTCCAGGACAGGGTTGGATGGAGAATGCTGGTGAGCGGCCTATGCTCCTTCACGAGGAGTAACAGGCGTAAGTAAGTAATATAGTACAGGAAGAAAGAATAATATAAACTTACATCACATGGTTTATGCCATTGTCCTAATGAATCTAATAGAATTGGAAATTGTTTAATATATCCTAATTGTGTACTTTTATTCAATTCAATATTAATATTTACTAAATTATTGATAGTTTGATTAGTTTTTTGTTTATGATCATTTATTGATTTATTATTTTGATCAATGTTGAATCCAGTTCTATTACGTAATCGATATTCAGTGAAATATTCTTCATATAAACAATAATCTAATAATGAATACCAATGTGATAATTTTCTATTGAATTCATATAATGATTTATGATATATTGAATGGGTTCTATGATCTGTATTATTATTATTAGTAGTAGTAGTATTCATGATTGGTAGATTTGGACGTAAAGCAAGAATTTCATCAATTGTAGAAGTAGATGGTAACTTTAAGAAAAAAAAGAAAAAAATTAATCAAAAATCATATCAGAAGGGGTATTGTGGAGATTGTAGTAATTTTAATGGTTAAGATCATGAGTCAGTTATTAATCAACATATGCTCACTAGTGATTGGCTTCAAGAGGTATTTTCTGGAATTCTAGTGAGAAGTAGTGATCAGTGGAGTTCAACCAGGTCTGTTGTGAGATATCAGCTCACTGAAGACAGAAGTGAATATGTCGCTCAATTTCGTGGATTAGTTGAAGTTAGACATTAACGCCGTTGAATGCTGATTCAGTGGTCTAATGGTTAAGTGCTCTCGCGCGAAACAAGTAAGTCTTGGGTTCGGATCTCGAAGGGGGCGAGGTCGTGTATGCGCACTGCTGAAGAGTCCCACAATAGGACGAAACGGCCTTCCAGTGCTTCCAGGTTTTCCATGGTGGTCTAGCTTCAACTGACTCATGATCTTAACCATTAAAATTATAAATAATCAATGATAATTTGAACAATTTAGTGGTAACAAAGGAAGACTGTGAAATAGGGTTGACTTAAATTCGAATCCCATAATCAATCTTTTTTAAGAGTTCAGTTATGATTTGCTATTGAGTAACAACTAACATGAAACTTAGATTGCTTAGGATATCTTATTGACCATCTCCAACTATTTAACATTGAAATATTAGTGCATATGATGTTGAATCATTTAAATTAATAGTAGTTAGACTGTAACTTGATGAGTAGAATTTGATCAACCTGAAGAATTAGATAAATATGACATTAGTCATTACTTAATGATCAGCTGAGTAATAGTAATCACTAGACCGTTCACTTAGAATAAGAATATGTACTCGGTACACAAGCTGAGTAAATATTATTGATTCAAACACATAAACATTGGTACGAGGAGGCACCAAATAGATATGCGCCACATAAATCATTCGATTTATGTGAGGGCTAGAATACTGCCCAGGTACCTAGACTGAAACAGGTGGTTTTCTTAGGGGCCACACCCAAAGCCTTCGACCTTAAGGTCTAATCCAAAAGGCAGTGGAGCAACATCAGGAGATGCAGTCCTATGGCAGCCACTGACGAACAATAAGTTCGTACGCCATTTGTTCTTTCAGGATACTGAGGCCCACGTGCACCATTGGTTTGGAATCAGGGTTTTTTTAACTCCCCTAAGTGAAATCTCCGTGTCCACCAACCCGGTTAAAAGGCCGGACATTCGCCACTCGCCCTTTCAATTTCGTCAGTCAGCTACAACGTAGAATCAGGCACATATGTGCATCGGTCTAAGTTGCCATATCTCATTAGCACAACAAGATGAACACCGGATTCATAGAAGCAGTTAACTGCTACGGGAAGACAATGAACAACACTTCCCTGTCAGTGGTTGTATGCACGTGGTCATGTGAGAGCATTTCAAGAAGGAGAGTTGACTTTCCCCACTCTCAGCCGTACCAGGTCATAAAATTCCATTATAAACCACCTTCGGTGTTGAATAGAATAGTATTTAACCTCTCAAAATAAAATTTCTGTCAGTCGATCACTAACGCTCACATTACAAAATGATACTACTAAAGGTTTACTATGTTAATGTGTAGTCTTTAGTCATGGAATCTTACAATGCACACAAGAAATACAAATTATCCTCATCATTAATAATAAAAACAACTTACACCAAGTTTTTCAATAAAAAATTGACGAGATTCTGGACCATAACATTTTGATAAAACAAATACACGTGGTCGATTTATAGGTTTTACAGGAATGAGTGGTTGTTCGTTCCCATCAGACATAGTACAGTTGACCAGTATACATTGGTCATTGAAATATTCACCAGTATCTTCTTCCTCATCTTCTGTGTTATGCACAGAATTGTTATTTCCTAGATCACTACTACAGTTATCATTGAAATATTTTGAGTTGAGTAGATGATTGTCAATAACAACAGATTCCCAACAAACAACATCAATATCAACTAAATGATATACAGGTGTAGACTGGTCTACTTCATCACTGCTACCGCCACTAATGTCTATATCAACATTTGACCGTGGACGTCGTTTCCCTGGTATTGTTTTCATTGAAGTTGATGATTTAGGCATCGCCTCACAAACAGGACATTTATAAACATTGCTTTCAGGGAGATCAACATTATCAGTATTGACAGTAGTAGTATCACTACGTGGACGCTTATGCATAAGTTTTCGCGTTATCATAGTATTTGGACATTGAACTAAAATACATGGATAGGTAGGATTTGCAAATACCAACCGAAGCCAATCAATTAATGAATGTTCCATACATGAATCAATTGTCCGTGAATAATCACCAACAACATCACGAAGATAATATTGTACAGCAGTACGATATATAAATAACATAAGATCTGGTGTTAGGTTCACAGAATCAATAGAGTTGTCTCTAACTTTTTCACCTAAACACTTCATTAAAGCCTGGAGAGAAAGGAAAAAATAACACTCACTATGAGAAATATTTTCACGTAGAATTCTATGTCAATTTCATTTAATCGATTAGCATCAGTCATTATCATTAACGTTTAAGATAGTTTTACGATTTAATTAGCCGGAATTAGATAGTTTGGATGTAACTAGATGATTTGGACTTCGCAAATCACCTAGTCCCTCAATCTCATTAACATCAACGAATGCAGGTTAACACAACCAGTGTAGCAGCCTCCGCATCAGTAAGCCTCAACATACACAATGGATAAAGCAACATCCTCAAATACGACACGGAGAACATCAATACAATCACACTTGATGGAAAAACTCTGAAGGATGTGAAAACATTCACGTACCATTATCAAAAGAGTACATGCACCCATAAACAATTGTTTACATAAGATACTCGATGTCCGTTGACCGGATATCATCAGCAACAGCCTACTGTGGGAGAGAACAAACCAGCTTCCAGCCGAGGAAGAAATTAGGAAAAAACGTTGGAAGTGGATAGGAAATACATTGCAGAAAACATCAAACTGCATCATGAAGCAAGCACTAACTTGAAATCCTAAAGGGAAACGGCCAAGGAGCATACTGTGTCGGGAATCGGAAGCAGACACAAAAAGGATGAATAGCAACTGGAAATGATTGTCCAGGACATAGTTGGATGGAGAATGCCGATGAGTGGCTTATGATCATCCACAAGAGGTAACAGGCGTAAGTAGGTAAGTAAGTACTGTAACCTGTCCTAGATTTAGTGTTGAACAGGGAACTTTTGTGCCAGAATTGAAGAAGCAATAGACGAACTTGTTGTACTAACTAGATAGCCTCTATCTGCAAACACAGTGCAGTTCAACATCCATTTCGTTTAGTTACGTTAATTTCATGTATTGGGTCATCCTGACGATGAAATCAAATGAAAATCAATTTATCGGTGTATCATGTATAATTTTAATCAATCCACAGTATTGCGCAACTCTCTTCCGTTGTTTTCACTGAGTAACTTACAAGATTGAAGATACTGGGTCTAGTTCCTGATTGCTAGGTCGTAGATGTGTAATATCAGAGAATCATATACTAGGATGAAACAGCTGTCTAGTGCTTCCAGATTTTCAATGGTTATCTAAGTTCGATCAATTCATCATCTTAATAAAATTAAACCATCTTTACAACATTATACTAATAATAACATTTGTCATACACTAGTAAAATAAATATCATTTCAAAAATATACTTTTATCACAAATAAACAATTAAAATTTACACTGGTTGAAATCATGAGTAAATTGAATCTAGACCACCACCATGGAAAACCTGGAAACACTGGACGGCCGTTTCGTCCTAGTATAGGACTCCTCAGCAGTGCACATCCAGGATCCCGCTACCCGCAATATTCGGACCCAGGACCTATCAGTCTTGCGCCAGGCTCTTAACCAACTAGACCACTGAGCCGGCATCCAACCGGGTTAATGTCTAACTTCAACCAGTCCACGAAGTTGCACCACCGTACACTATTGTCTTCAGTGAGCTGATATCTCACAACAGACTTGGTTGAACTCTACTGGGTTCGAATCTCGCGGGTAGCGGGATCGTGGATGCGCACTGCTGAGGAGTCCCATACTAGGACGAAACGGCCGTCCAGCGCTTTCGGGTTTTCTATGGTGGTGGTCTAGATTCAATTGACTCATGATTTCAACCAGTGAAATTTCAAATATCTCTACACAACCCCTTCTGATAATTAAAATTTACTTCAAATGTTGAACGATCAGGTTGATGAATAAGACCAATAGATTTTGTAAATTGACTATTCAATGGATTATTAACAATATATGATCCAGGTGACCAAATATAACAAGTATCTTTAAGAAGTTGAAATAATTGAGAATTTTGTAATTGTAATTGATAAAATGCTGAAGGTGAATAAATCATTCGTGAATCAATAGGAGACATAAGTTGATATGATGATGATGAGGAGGAGGAGGAGGATGTAATTAATGTAGTTGATTCAACTGGTAACCATGCAGTTTCACGTAGTTTATATAACCAAGATGAATAATCTAAATAATTTAATGTATCATTAGTAGTAGTAATAGTAGTATTAGTAGGTAAACCATCATTTATGCTTGAATCCAATTTATCCAATGAATCATTTTGAGTTTTGATACGAGTGAATAATGCAGATTGAACTCTTTTTAAAAAATTAAAGTAAAAATAAATGTATTACAAAATTACCCTAAATTAAATTTAATAAAATATACATCAATTACTTTACCTGTAAATTTTCTAGACTCTGGAATAACCTACCACAAACTATCCGTACGATAAAATCACTCCCATTTTTTGTTCGTTGCATCGAGGCAAACTGCTCCTCTGAAAATGCATTGAATGTCCTAGCATCTGTAAGTGTATCTCATTCTACAAGTGATATTATAGAAACTTTAAATGTTTAACCATCTTTATTAGTGCATTCCCTAAGTAAAACTACCTACTTGCTGTCACTTTATGTTAACACCGTCCCCAGTAAGTTTAACTAATTTGAATAACATTAACAGTATATCACTGTGTTACATGACACATGCATTTTGGTAGACCTGATTGACATATTTTGGTCATTATTGCTTTGTTTTTCCGTGCTCTCTGTTTTCGTTTGAAGTTCTCTAGTTGTGAATAATTATCATTAATTCAATCTGGCACACAAAATGACCTTAATTATTCCGTTCATAAATCAACAGGTTGTCCACTTAAGAAAAATTAAAAGTTCCCGGCTGATGCAATGTATCATTGTATTACATATACTACCTAGACAATTACTGAACTAGTATAGTTAAAACTTTCTTCTATCACATGTTTGTTCTCTACATCTAATGTTACTATTTATATCAAATTGATCATGCCTGTAAACTGGCGTGAATTTTGTAATTATTATTTTCAGAATATATTATTATTATTATGATAATTAGATAAATAATTGACTCGATAAATTCCATACTTTTACTGGTGGCGTTGAGTGAATGTAACTATGTCATAAATATAAACCACTGAATTTCAATTCAGTAATCTTATCCTTGACATGAATGGTAAGTGACTTACAACTACAGAGTAACAGCAAATTTAAATATCAAGTGCTCGCTACTTAATCAAATCTAAGCAACGTAGAACTAGGTATATATCTGTAACACTTGTAAATTTTCATGCCAAATCAGACTACAAAGATGAAATTATCAAGAGAAATACTAGAGTACTAGTGTGGTGTGGGTTACTTATATCCACATAAGTAGTATATAACGATGGTCAGGCATAGAATGTATTCCAGTAGAAGATCAATAAGGAAAGAATGGGAACGGAACGCAATTGATATGAAAATGCATGAACAATGAAATCTGAGACAATGGACTGTTATTTCCAAAAGGAACAGTCAGGTCTGAGACAATGGATTGATATTTTGCAAATTAACGATTTACTGTATGGTTCTCAGATTTTATTGAGATGCTCTGTAATTTCGTAACGAATACATTTTATTGTCCCCACTCGTGTTCTTGTTTACTGCAGTATATGACTGAATATGGTGAAATCATCAAATAAGTAACACTGAGATAAAATGTAGGTTGTTAGATGAAAAAAAACGGTGAGTCCGTTGATTGATTGATTAATTGAGGTGGTTTCAACATATGTCTAGGATGAGAAACCACTGTCTACCACAATGAGTAATCAAGTAATCCATTGAAGAGAAGCTAAAGGAACCTTTCACGGACTTATGCATGATAACCGAATAAGATGGATAATTTACGCAAAATATATTTATTATGCTAAGAAGTTGGAGGCAGTTGAGAGGAAACATTGGTTAACTAGGATTTAGTGATAGTTGGGATATATCATAAAGCCATACCTGGAATTTTGAGGGAACTTGTGCTCTTTGTTGGATGCGAACCCTGGTCACTACTTTTCATAGTCTTACAAATCACAGTTATTCGGACTGTGACGGTTTCTTGTAAGATTACGTTATTTAGACTTGTTCTATATAGAATTAGATCAGAACTAAAGACTAAACAAACATGACAGCACTCATTCGTCAATCAATAGAAATATTCATTGTTTATTTTATGAATATTTAAAACTTATTGAACATTACTAGAATGAATACTCGATTTTAATTCATGTAAAGATTCTCGTATTCTTGTTCACTACACTAGAAGTACTAAGAGTATAACTAGTAGTAAAGAGATTAGTAATTGAGAATATGATTTGAGAAGGGAGAATGAATCCGTGGAAAAAAGTGTGTCGGGAGCGGGAGTAAAGAATCAATACGTTTGTGTTAGTGAGATCTATCCTGAAACATATCACACAAAGTCTCTGACCAATGATCATGATAATCGCACAGAATCCAATCAAATCGTCTGAAATTACTAACACGGTTCGCTTCAATAGTCGATGACTTCATGGACTAAAGCCATATTTTTATTTGGTCACCCTTAGCCTTCTTTCAAACTAGTCAAGTCTTGCTTAGACTGTTTTTATAAGGACTACTAGTAATAACTCAGCAGCAAGGACACACACAAGTGTGTTTAAGAGTTGGAACATGAACTCCATATAGTACTGGACATATTAGTCAGTCAGTAACAACGTAGAACTTCGTACACACGTACATCAGTTCGAGTTGCCATACCACATTAGCACAGAGATGCAGTTGTTGATTCAAATCCCCTAGTGGTAAAGTAATAAGAGTATAAGCAGTAATCGGAAAGATAAGGTTTTGAAGATGTTATTCAAGGAATATAATCCAGTGAAATAAATTTGGGAAGAGAAAAAAAGAAAGGGTCATGAAGAATTCAGAAGATTAGAATTTGGGAGAACACAAACAGTGGATGCACCTGCGCCACTGCAAACGATGTTGAGCCATGTCATTCAAGGTCTCCAACCATCGGTCAGTATCATCTCGCGGATCACATCTAGGTAGTCTACACCTACTAACATCGCTCAGTTCATTTGTCAGTGACTTCATGGATTTGTGCCATTATTACAATTTATTGTATAGTTTCATCAAGGTTTGTTTAATTTAACAAATTCTTTATTGCAAACTTTTGTCAGTAGGAGAACGAATGAAAACTAGGGAAGTGATGAACAAGTTACTTGTCTTTTTACGACTAAGATTATTTATTCTAGATGTAAAATTTAAACGTAGTTGTAAAATTTGTGATACTAAACGTCTATTCAGAGGTTGATGAACGATACTTTAAGAATGAACAAAACGTGAAAGTTATCAATTTGAACTAGAATGAGAAAGGTATCTACTAACGTCTCTTATATAAATCCACTTATTTATAGTTTCCGCTTCAGCGGATGTTCCCTTGTTACAAAATCTATCTTCAAACTGTATAAATACCTACAAAAACTAATTGAATAAACATTAAATAATAATTAAAATCAAATGATAGATGTTTGACAGAAGTCAGCAAGAAAAATCTGGATCTAGATCTCATGCTAGTTTCAATCACAGTTGTCCACACCTATAGGACTGAAATATTAAAATTGACTAATCAATGAGTCATGAATTTTGTTGATCAAGTTTGTAATGTGTCAAGTTGGAAGTGGTTAACAAAAGACTCTCTAGGTAGAATAGATTCAGTTTCATAACCATTACGGAAAAGGATAAACATGAAATTGATCACTAATGCTCAATGATCGATAGACATCACTATCAAACAGAACAACATAACCGCATGAAGAATTCACTTACAAGTACAATATGAATATTCTTAGTTATAATCAATGAAAAACAAACAAACAAACAAGAAATTAGCTTACGGACTATATGAAGACCAATTATCATGTAGTAGACAGCTTAAACGTTCAGCCATCTCTTTCCCCATTAATTTATCATGAAGTCGTGCAATACAAGTTAGAAGTAGATCAATACCAGGTGAAATATAATCTTCAATCAAATATATAGTACTATTGTTACTTAATGGTGTATTAATGATTGAAAATGTTAGACCTTGTTTGTGTAATGCTTCAATAATTGACTTTTGTAAACGATGATTTATTGGTAAAGATATTGCATCTTTTAATATACTTGATGATGAAACATCATGTTTAGAAGTTGTTATTGATGTTAAAGTTGTACCAGATACTTGATAAAAATATTTGATTTTGTGAACAGACAATAAAGTGCACACACCTAGTAAATATAAGCAAAAAAAAAGAAGGAGGAAAAGAACAGAACAATGTAACATATAATCCAGCTATGCGAATTCAATTCTTGAAGTGGACACATTGTCTTAGTCAGAATAAAATTGTTATGACTTTTACCCTGTTAATTTATCACGTGATATGATCTCCAATTAAACACTGATTTATACGGACTTTGCACTGTGCCAAACCACAGTACGAGCAGCCTAAAGTCAAATCTGAGTCCATATTGGTTCTTCTTGCCTAGCTCTGTCCGTTGAGTCCAGAACACAATCTCAGCTTCCACTATATGAATAATATATTTTAGATATACTTAGTTTATATACAAACAAATCAAACCGCATCATACCATAAAATAGAAAATAACAATTATACAAGATCAGATCAAAAGTGGCTGTGAGTGGGATAGACTGTAAATAATAAATTGGGTGTAAATTAAGAATAGTAACTAGTATAGTAGTCAATATGTAAGAATATGACATTTTCAGTATTTTATTTGATAGTAACAGCTGAATAAATCAGTCGTTATGAAAAAATATGATCCCTTTACATAGAATTGTGGTTCTACGAGTAGAGACAACTGAAATACTTAATTCAAATTTTATTTTGAGTAACAACACAAAAACGATACGCACAAATTTGTTGTTGATGAAGCTCAAATTGAACGAAACATGTTCAGATTTAAATATTATGCTATTAATACTTTTTATCGAAATACAATTAGATAATAAATGGTCTTGAGTGTTGTTAAAAGTATGAGGGCGATTATCAATCCCCGGTCGCCCACACCGTGGATGGGCTGTTCTGGAGGTACCTAAAAAAGAAATTGGATTAACGGTGGTCTTAGTGACCTGAGAGCGTGATCGCAGTGACCAAGGGATAATTAATTGAGACCAGTCACACACGACCTGTTTGTGAGTAATTTTCGTATTAGCTCCGTACTTGTTGAGACCTTACCGCCGGAGATGGATATCCATGGGATAAGGCGAGGTGCACATTTTTAGGGTCAACCTTTTCCTTGTGGGAAGGCAGCATTGCTCTTATGCTTGGTTGTCTGAAGGAAACACCATACTGCCATCACACCTGTATACTGTCAGATGTACGACTTCGCCCTCAGACCTTGAGTTTGTTACTTTTAGTCTTAGCGTTCTTCAACCGACCTGTCTGTCATAGTGGCATCTCGAGGAACGATTGTTCTAGCCAATATAGCTCGATTGGTTCATCACGATAAGCAAGTTCGACCACCGCGTCAAGGCAGCAACAACGGTCGGTCTTAGAAATATCGCTCGCATCTGCTGGGATCACCAGGTAATTATTAATAATAAGGTTAAATGCAGGGTATTAGGACATAATGGTAAATCAGTCGATGAGGTTGTGAATTTTCATCGACTGAGATGGTTGGGCCACGTGTTACACATGCCTGAACACCGATTACCATGACGCGCAATGCTAACCGGTGTTAGGGATAATTAGAAGAAAGTTAGGGGCGGCCAAACCAAAACGTGGCATCAGTGCTTGAAGACACTAACTTCTAGTCTTAGCCATGTTGGTATATGCAGACTACTTGGCTGGAAACTGGATGACATGGTTCAGAATCGATCACAATGGCGTAGGTGTATACACTTTGTCTGCTCTTAACCAGTGAGATTAAAATCACTTCATATCTTTCTTTCTACGAATTAATTCTTTCTTCCTGTAGTACATCCTTATATGCAACCTTTCTTTTACATATTACTATCATTGAATGAATCGCTTCTATGAATCCGGTGTTCATTTTATTGTGCTAATATGAGGTATGACGACTTGAACCGATATACATAATTGCCTGATCCTACATTGTGACAGATTAACTAATTGAATTAGATAATAACAGTAAAAATAAATATGTAACTGAATAATTTTTTTAAAAAAAAAAAATAAAGAGGATAAACTAACCAGCTTTTGAAAATAGATCATACCATCGAGAAGCTTGTTGTGGATTTATTGAAAAACCTTGAAAATATTTTGGCGACACAGTATACATACAATCAGTATCATTTAATTGATCAATTAAAAATTTGAATAAATCCACTTCTAATTGTTCCATAAAATTTCTATCCATATTTACTGTTGATGATTGTGATGATGATGAAGAAGATGATGATGATGATGATGATGATAATTCCATTGTACCATTTGATGATGATGATGAAGCTATTGTAAAAGAAATTGGCGGTAAAATAATTGGTTTATCACGTTGTAATCCATTATCATAATAATAATATAATGCTGGTAGAATAGAATTTTCTCCATGTTTATTTGAAACAATAATTGGTAGAATCATTGAAAATTCATTAATATTCTCTGTATGATAATGATTGTTATTCAAATGAATTGAAGTATAAAATTGTGCCACAGTTATATACCAATTCATTTGTATAGGTGATATATTCATAAAATGATCATTAGATTGGTTTAATTTTAAATATGGAATAATCCATTTTGTCAGAACAATAGAAGGATAAGCTATTTGTAAACCTAATCCATTTGGTGATGGATCAGTGAATAAAGTAGAATAATCTTGATGAGAATTGATTTGATTCGATTGAAAAGCATCTGGTTTAATTAATGGTCCTAATTTTTCTATTAATTGAATATAATCATCTATAAAAAAAGAAGAAAAAAAAAGTAAAGGAAAAAATGATGAAAATTTAATTTATGAACGAGCCAATCAGAAGCGTTTGAGAGATTTCAAGGTCATGGCGCCAACTTTAGTGCTTCATGCTAACGTATGATCGGTGCATAGGGAATTTTGTACAAAACGTGATAATTGAACGGCTATAATAAATAAAACGGCGAGACTATAATTTGTGGACGAATCAATCAGGTATAAGATAATAGATCTCGGATTTGGGCGCGAAAGTGTTTCATCTATTTGGCTAAATAGATTTCTGGCATTATGGCTTATGTCAGTTCGTGATGAAAACCCTATATATAATTCCTAACTAAACACCAGTAACACTGGCTGTAGCCAGGTACCACAATATATATGGATGATTGGAGAGCGTACAGAATCCTACATAGGCTTGGTTATGTGTATCGTGTCGTTATCCACAAGTGGCATTTTGTGTACTCAACAACCGGAGAGCACACAAACAATGTTGATGCTATGTGGTTCAGGCTGAAAGATTTTTTAAGACTATCGTGGCTCCAGAGACCGACTATTCTGTAGCTATATGGATGATTTTTTCTACTGCATGCATTACGATTTTAGAACCTTTGAACCTCTTTCTAACATTGACAAGTTTTTGAACCACGTATAAGAAGTTTACCCACTTTCTTTCTTTGGTTTTGTATAATATATTTTTACTCTAAACCAACTGTTTGCTGATTAACTAATATTTCTCAAGGTCACTTAAGATTCATTCAAAGGTTGTTTATAAATTAGAGTCTCACCAAAATTATTTATGGACGAATTCTTTGGACCTAGGTTTTGTTGCTTTTAGTCTTAACGCTCTTCAACCGACCTGTTTGGCATGGTAGGACCTTGAGGAACGGTTGTTCCAGCCAGTATAGCTCAGTTGCTTCATCACGATAGGCAAGCCCGACCACCACGTCAAGGTAGCAAAAACGGTCAGGGTTTTGAAATGCTGAATGATAATGAGAGTCAATCAATTATCATCGATTTGGATTCAGTGAAATTTATCATAATCATGAAGAGCCAGGTATATAGGTTGTACTTTATCCCAAAGAATTTGAAGAGATTATCCGGCTTGGTTGAAATGAAGGGGAAACAGTTCACTAAGAAGCTCAATAATCGAATACCTTGTGCACATGGGACATTCAATCAAAGAGGATTCCGCGTTCAAATTTATCTTCAAGGTAAGTAGAAGGTTGTCAAAGGCAGTTAGATTCCATTTTCTTCACATTTCTGAAGGAATAGCTATACATCTGAAAAAACTAGATCTATGCGCCTAACAGAATCTGGAACAAACTTTTCTTCCACGATAGTTATGTCTGATAATTTTCGTTCTTCTTCATACTTTTCTTCCTTCCCTTTTATCTTCCCTATAAACCTTCTACCCCCGAATGGTTTATTTCTGCTTCTACAATCCTCTTGACCACATTTTATCATTCTAAGCCTTCGTTTCGTAATTAGAATTTCCCTATCATCATGATGAATAAATATTCAAGCCCTTAACACTTAAAGTATGATTACTTTCCATGATAAGAAAAAATAACGTTTGTTTATTCTGCCTCACTGTTACCGTGTTTAGTAGAATCTTTATTACCAAAAGGTGAACTCTTCAATGAACTAATCTGTCTTATTTCATAATTATAATATAACAAATCTTAATCATTGGGTACTATATCCTTATATACAATCTTTCTTTTATATATATTACCACCATCGAATTAACTACTTCTATGAATCAGACGTTCATCTTGTTGTGGTAATGAGGTATGACAACTTGGACCGATGCATATATGCGCCTGGTCCTACGTTGTAACTAACTGACTGACATTGGGTATTATATCTTAGATATGATATGTTATGATTTGACCAGTACATAATATAATACTTGATATTTTGAATCTTTTGATTTTGAGTTATATCAATGTATTTGTCTTGTTGTATTTGATATCTAGTATCACAATTCGGAATGATGTTTAATTGTGTAAGGTTTTAATACTGCTTATGAATGATTGAGTTTGTAATGGCTTGAGTCATCTCACTGTTTATATTTTAACTGAAATTTGATTAGTCATGGTTAGGATATATCACAGAATAAACATCAACTTTGAGATCCCAGTACACCAAACTGATAAGTACCAAATAGGATGAAACGCTCATCCTGCACCCCACTGCCATAATCAGCTAGTCAAAGACATGCACCTACTTGACTGAATTCACCTCTTTATAGCCTACATCTTCACTCCTTCACAGTACTAGATGATTTCTTTAACAATGAACCCTATTTTAAAGCGTACAGTGTTAGTGTTCATATGAGTATAGGGAAGGGAGATAAGGAATAAACTAGAGTCCAATGAAAAATTGTTTCTTACAGAATTCATTGTCAATAAAACATTTAAATCAATATAAGAGAAAAATTAATTGCCTCATCTACAATTAAATCTTTTGACCTACCATATGTGATTCCAATCAACATGGAAGCGATTTCTGATGGACAAGGAGGTAATAAAACAACTGGATGAATATCATTAGACCAAACATGATTCTGTTTATCATTTAAACGAATACATTGTCCATTAGTTAATGGAAAAATAGGCAAATGTTGTAGAGCTGTTAGAAGACGACGTCTAGATACCGCAATTGACGGTTTAGATGATAATGATAATTGTGATGACCAGTTAGAAGGTGTGTTGTATGTAGTTAAACAAGCATCAAAACTAGACATGAGTACTGAAAGTAAACCAGGACGATTGATATCCTCTGGAACACAAAAAAAACGAAAACTAATAATCAAAATCTCAATAGTTGTGACATACATGATTTCTATTATTATTATGAATGTGATCAGGAGTCTTAGATCAAGACTTGGTTGTTAGCTACTTTGATTGATTACATACATTTAATGAGATCTTTGAAAGGATAAGGTACCTTGAAAACTTTCACTTTGGTTTGGATACCCTTTATATATTCCTGACATGAACTGAAATCGTTTACAAAAACTATTGAAGACTATGAAATACTGGGTACATAACCTAGTTCATCGTCATTCCGGGATATATCAACAATTATTCAGTGGGTATTGACAAATGTTACGTTTGTCAAGTCCTTTAGTGTTATTTGGATCCTATCGATCAAGTGACCAATAAATGGTAAACATATCAGTCTTATAAGCAAAGATGGATAGTGGAATCCAGTTTGACGCGCCTTTCGTCCTATTTGGGACTCGTCAGCTGGATGTACCTGCATCTCAGAGTTGATGTACACTCCGGGACTCGAACCCAGTACCGTCCGCTTCAAACGCCATCGCGTTATCCACTTAGCTACTGAGTCCTGATAGCCACTTGCTTGTGCAATGGGGTGAAGTTTAATTCACTTGATATTGTTTTATTTGAATCTTCCCATTGATGTTTAGGACTGAAATTGTTCAATCTCTTATAATGCTTGTAAATTAAGGCAATATCGAGGCATACGCACAGTATGCACATATGCCAATAAGAGACTGAACAATTTCAGTCCTAAACATCAATGGGAAGATTCAAATAAAACAATATCAAGTGAATATCAGTCTTATAAGTCATTTAAGGCTAATTTTAGATGAACTCTGGCAAGAAACTGTAAATGAAAGGCTTCAACAGTATCAAGGGTAAAACATATATCACCGACAATGTTTGTTGGTCGTTTTGCAATATTATAAATTCACTGATGTTTTAATTGTGTAAAATGAGCTTTCAATAATTCTCTAGTTGATCTCAAGCATATAATCGTAACATCTATTGTCAACAGTTCAAACATGTAACATAGTATACGAACTACTAAACATTGAAATGTTGACTTAAAAGATCGAAAATAGTACTCCACCTACTTTCCTTTGAGTACCTAACAGTAGTGTGAATAGCCATCATACTAACTATTGCACTTTTAAAAACTAAACATAAGAGTTTGTACATCAATAGTATAGTACAGTTTTTAAAAAAATTACTCATGAATTACAACGTATTTAATCTAATATTAATCTACTCAAACTTAAGCGTCATTATCTTCCCAAACATCGATTGACATTGACATAAATTTCCCTGTTTTCAGATTTGTTTGTAACTAACTAATTATGTTTGTCAACCGTATACACTTGCTAATCTAATTACTGAGGAAAAAAAGACTAAAGAGGTAGCCACATTACAGTGGTTTGTATATTTTCCATCTTTTCTATCCTTAGCAGAAATGATTGACAATTACTAAAGAATTCATATATAAAATGTAATAAGTTGATAAGAAGGGGATACCAAAAAAGGAATACTGATGATTGTAATCATTTACAGGTAACTGTAAATGGTGGCTAATCACCATTTTAAATTATTGTATAGATATTTTTTGGAATGCTCAATGTTCAATGTTTAGAAAACGAAACATTTTCTGTAATTTTAGGTATTTTTGTACTGATAATTCATCAATATAATCAAATATATGGTATTGAATGAATTTATTATTACTGACTGCTTTCTCGAGGAGGATGTGTTCTTTACGAAATTGCGAGAAAGAAAAGTGTCCAGCGCTTTTACCGGATTGGTGGACATGGAGAGTACATTTAGAGGAGTTGGAAAACCCTGATTCCAAACCGATGGTACACATGGGCTCCAGGATCCTGAAATAACAAATAGCGTATGAACCCACAGTTGGTCACCGGCTACCATGGGAATGCATCTCCTGATATTGCTCCACTGCCTTGTGGATTAGACCTTTAAGTCGAAGGCTCCAAGTGTGGCCCCCTAAGAAAACCACTTGCTTCGGTTTGGGCACCCGGGAAGTATCACAGCCTTCACACAAATCAAATTAGATTTGTTTGGCGCATATCTATTTGGTGCCTCCTCGTACCAATGTTTATGTGTTGAAATAAATAAACAAATTACCATTACTGTTATGAATAACAATAAAAGAACTCATTAAATAAAGAGTATTTACTAGGTTTTAAATTTGCAGCTAAATTTAAAAGAGATTCAATAGAAATTGTTTGAGCACCCAACCAATGCAATGCATCTATTCTAATTCGATCTATTAAATAATCTGTAGATTGATATTTATCAATAATCTCATTATCATTGGCTATATCTTTCACTGTATCTTCTACTTCAACTGGCTCCATTGATGATAAACGTCTATGATGAGATGAAAATACTAACAGTTCTGGATGTGGTTCATATATTTGTAGATAATCGATCAGAAGACGTAATAGGATCAGTTCACTATGATTGGATGAGGTACTCTATAGATATTCAAATGAAATGCATAAATTACATGGATAAGTAAAAAATAAGAAAAATTATATGTAACTAAGGTACATCTTTGGTATTACAAAGATAAGGAATAAAGTTGAAAGATTGTTCTACTTGAAAACTTCTAAGAAATTATCGTCTACAGAACCATTAATAGAGATTCGCTTGATGTGATTAGTCACTATCCATCTTTGCTTAAATACCTAATGACTTAAGGCTAAGTCGAGGCAATCTGCACAGGAGACTGATCAATTGCAGTCATAAATATATATCCATCATTAGTAGAGAGGTTCACATGATATAATTGTAGAACTAACAAGTAGAAACTCAATTATAAATTAGGTATTTATAGTTTTTCTCCAAAGACAGTGTAGAGATGGTTCTGAGTGTTAAATACAATTTTTTCATCTATTCAAACTGAATTCGAGGGATATTAGAGAACAGTGAAGAGGCAATTGTAACTCTATGATAAAATTTATTCAAATAAGAGACGGATCTTAAGTTTACTTAAAGAAAATTTGCTTAGATTCCATTGCTAATTCCAAATACAGTATTTCCACATCTACCTTCCAAAGATATATCCCAAAATAGGATTAAAACACCAGACCAGACCATAAAAGTGACCAACAAGTTAGTTGTAACCTAGGAAACAAGTAGTGAACTGAGAAGCACAGTATATTTTATCAATGATAATCAATAAAAGACATGTGTTTGCACTGGGAAGCGATATTATAATTCAAATCAACCGTTTAAGAATCAATGAAAAAAAGACGTAGAAAGTGGATGAAATTTATAGGATAGAAACATTTAACAAAAGTTCTTCACTAATTACGTTTTTTCTTAATTGTTTCTATCAAAGAAACAAAATAATAATGGTAAAACAACTAGATGGAGAGCTACTCAAATTATTAAATTTAACTACTAATATGTACGACGATATTGTTGAGTAATTCAATATACCAGCTCAACAAAACGAATGCACACAATCTGACATTATTCCCAGCATTCAGTAAAAAAAATACACCCCTCAGAAACATTATTTCATACTAAAAAAACACAAAATGTCAAGAATGGAGAACGTATGAGTATCGCTAGTGAAAACTTGAATGTCGTTGAAGATCATTGATTAAAATCAGAAAGCTTTGAGAAGTCGAATTAATGTTCCTGAATGCGTCTTTGATATTTTGAAATTGAAATTAGCAGTCAGTTATCCTCTTGACAGGTATTCTACATCTGACTGATGCTATATACCAGTTATATTTGTCAATATAAGTAGTATGCACCATACTGCTCTCACTACCAATGTTTGGCGACTGGATATTGAACGCAATTTAACATCGAACTATGAATAAAAAACTGTATAAGTGATAGCAAGAAACTTTAAACGGATATAAGTTGAATTAAATTTCACGTTGCTTACAGAGTTTGTCTCTTCTGAAGAATGATTACATTCTTTCTCAACCAACATTGATGAAGACGAGGATGAGGATAATAATGTCGGAACAACTAGTAACCTTGATGCAATCACATATTTACACGAATCAATGTTCGGTAAACAATCAACTGTACGTTGAATACCTGGTAACCAGGCAAGATTTGATAATTTAGCGCGTAATTGATTTGGTAAACCGAAGAACACGTTGTCATTTGTTATCGTTGTGGCAATTGATGATGATGATGACGATGTGATAGAACGATTTGTCAAACAACCGGCTGCTGTCGATGATGAAAATGATAAATTATACGGAAGACAAGAGATAATACGTCCAATCAATTCAATACGTGTATATCCCAAATTGTCATTTGACTGAGATGAATCCAAGTCAACTGTAAAACATGATTCTGGCAACTAAATAACCAATATTATAGAAATCAAGAAAATAAGTAAATAAACAAATTGATCAGAAACAATTACACTTAAGAATATTGGTTAATTCAGAATGATAATTGTTCAGTATAATATTCGTTTAATGTGATTAATTTATCCCAATATGTTATTATGCCATATCGTGTTATGCATTGACATAATTGTGCTGATCCTATAATACTAATCAAATGTCATGAACCAAGTTGCAAGGTAGTCATTTTAATTTAGGTGTCTAAACATTTTGCACACTATGCTAAACTGTTAGATAGTCAAAGAAATCCTGATGAGTATTGATCAATACAAAATCTAAATCCATTGGGTCTGTTGATGATTATCTTCAACTATCCAATTATCTTAACAGTTGAATTGACGAGTCGATCGAAGCTCGACGTTACAAGGCGTGCTATATGGACCTGTTCTTTCCCCTCTTCTTTTCTCATTTTTCTGCATGATCTGAAATCGTCTACAGAAATTACCTTTGTTAAGTATGTGGATGCATGTCAATTTGTACCTTCTCACATTTTGAAATGAGTGAGTTCTTGTCTTTCATTGGACGATGATCTGTTGTAAATGGTCTCACACCTAATCCTTCTAAATATCAACCTGTTGACTTAAGATTGAGACATGAACAGCTCCTAAAAACCTTGTTTGAATCCCACAAAACTTATACTATCGGAGATTATTTAATGAAGTGTCAAAGGTCATTTATCTTGGTGTAGGTTTCTCCACTGATCTCTCTGGGTCTTCTCATGTTTTATTGTTATCGAAGAATTTTTTCCGTCTTACTACAAAAAGAGGCTGTATGCATTTGGAGTTACTCGACATTTAATCTAAAGATTCATCGATTCTGGAATATTACCTACTGTTTTTTATTATTTCCTATTATTCTTACCCAGGCTTTTAAGAAGAGATTTTTCTATATTGAGAAAAGTGTTAAAGGCAGTTAACAGGGCATGTGTGTGAGTCTTTTGAAGTCAATATGGTTGTGGATAGACGTCTAAAATCTTGCAAACTCTTGGAAAGTGTCTTTTTACCAGATGCTAACTATCCATTTCACTCACATCTCTCTCTCTTTCTCTTTGTATATCTTATGGTAAAACGAAGCGTCAATATATTAGAATCCATGCACACAAGCAAAAGCAGAAAAGCTTTACAATGTCATATCTAGCAAATATACTTTGTGACGAACAAGTTGTTACAAATGACCTAGTGAATAACTTGTATTTGTAAACACAGTTCTAATTAAAAGGTGTACAGATCCTTATTTACTTACACCTGCTACTCCTCGTGAAGGAGCATAGGCCGCTCACCAGCATTCTCCATCCAACCCTGTCCTGGGCAATCCTTTCAAGCTCTTTCCAGTTCTTATTCATCCTTTTCATATCCGCTTCTATTTCCCGACGTAATGTGTTCTTTGACCTTCCTCTTTTCCGCTTTCCTTCAGGATTCCAAGTTAGCGCTTGCCTCGTAATGCAGTTTGATGATTTCCTCAATGTATGTCCTATCCATTTCCATCGTCTTTTCATAATTTCCTCTTCCGCTGGAAGCTGGTATGTTGTCTCTTACGAAAGGCCATTGCTGATGGTGGATGATGATGGATGTTGAGTACCTTGCATAGACAACTATTTATAAATATTTGTACCTTCTTGATGATGGTTGTGGTAGTTTTCCATGTTTGATCACCATACAGTAGGACAGTCTTGATGTTCTTATTAAAGATTATGACGTTGATATCAGTTGAAAGTTGTTTTGAGTTTCATATGTTCTTCAATTGTAGGAATAAGGACCTTGTTTTACCAATCCTTACTTACAAATCCTAATCTTATAAAAAGTCATTTCATTGAATTCTAAAGAGTTTACTAACTTAATTTATGTATAAACGTGTGTAGTTATCGTTTTTTTTGTAGAAGAAACCTGTTGAAATATCGTATGCGACAAAATTCAATATTTTACTGAACATATAATATTGAATAAAGCCAGTAATATCAATAACGACACTCATAATTATTGAAGTATAATCCTCAACTGTGTATATCAACAACCCCAGACAGTATTGAATTCAAAAGTAAGTAAACATTAGGTCATCGAATTAGAATTTCTTGAAGAATACTTTCCACAACTTCAAATATGTTAACGGATGCTTACAGCTGACGAGTCGTAATAGAAGGACGAAATAATTGCTTGGTACACATAAATAATAATAATAATAATCAAAGAAGGAAATCGGTTTACCTTTTCAATACATTCAATCATATCAGAAAAGATATTTGGTATTTTGCCTACAAGCCAACGATTCCAAGCACTTGTTGAATCAACATCTTCACGTGAAGAAGTTAAATCGAAATCAGCTGGGGCAATTAAGTACAAAGAGAAGAAAACAACAAATATTCAAATTGTATTATTATAACCAACATGAAAAATTAAAACAACTCCAATAACAATAAAATGTAAGACGTTCTTTCTTTTGTTACATCATTTCCATGATGTGACTGTTTAAACGAATTGGATACGGTTGTGATGTGAACCCTAATCAAGTAGCCTGAATCTATCAACATGTTTTAGACAAACAGTTACTGACTAAATGTACCAGTGCTATGTTTCGGTATGGCCAATCTCTCCAAGTTTCTACCAATCTATGCCTACACTAGATAATAAACGTACGAATATTTTTTTTAAATAGTTGAAATCATGAGTCAATTGAAGCTAGACCACCATGGAAAACCTGGACCAACTACACGGCTGTATCGTCTTATTGTGGGACCCCTCAGCAGTGCGCATCCACGACCCCGCACCCCGCTGGATTCGAACCCAGGACCTATCAGTCTCGCGCCAGGCGCGTAGCCAACTAGACCACTGGGCCGGCATCCAACGGTGTTAATTTCTAACTTCAACCAATCCACGAAATTGCGCCACCGTTACCATTGTCTTGATTGAGCTGATATCTCATAACAGACCTGGTTGAACTCCACTGGTAACGGCTTCTTACTAGAACTTCAAGAGTATCTCTTGAAGTTAGTCACTAGTGAGCAGATGAGAAGCCGTGACCAGTGGAGTTCAACCAGGTCTGTTGTGAGGTATCACCTCACTGAAGACATTGGTGACGGTGGCGTAACTTTGTGAATTGGTTGAAGTTAGACACTAACATGGTTGCATGCCGGCTCAGTGATCTATTTGGTTAAGCGCCTGGCGCGAGACTGATAGGTCCTGGGTTCGAATCCAGCGGGGGGGCGGGATCGTGGATGCGCACTGCTGAGGGGTCCCACAATAAGACGATACAGCCGTGTAATTGGTCCAGGTTTTCCATGGTGGTCTAGCTTCAATTGACTCATGATTTCAACTGTTGAAATTGCTAAAATCTCCGCAAAACTCTTTCTGAGAATATTCTTTTCACACTTAATACACAGAACATAGCCACATTATTCCTTATTTCATAATAACATGATAAATGGATAACGATGCTTTCTTGGATAAAATCAACAATCGAAGTAAAATGTTTCCCGAATATTAATCTTTCTAAAGTAAGTATATAACTTTGCTAACCTCATCCCAATGACAAATACAAATTTGTATACCTGGTTCTAACACTCATTCTAGTGATACTACTACTAATTATCTTAAACTAAAGTAGGTGAGATTAGGTTGAATTCATTAACTTCATGGCTGAAAGTCAAATACACCAACCACCGAATTACTATTTCATTAACCCTCGAAGTACCAGTAATAGGTGTTAGTTACAATGTTTTTCTTCAAAATAAATACAAAACAACTTACCATTTATAAAAAATCGGAATCCAACACTACGTATTGGTAAATAAGAAAATATAGGACATGGTTGTAGAAGATCTGAATCATTCAATGAAATAGCCAATGATATTTCTGTCTGTGATGGAAGATTCTGTTATAAATTGTTTGAAAAGACAAATTACATTAATCATTTGTCATATTTGTATTAGGAAGATATGAAAAACAAATAGGTTGTAGAATTGAAAATGAAAGATGTATGAAATGTAAGTGTTATAGACTCAACCTCTCTATATGCACACATAATCGGACCATTAAACTAAACTAGGTAGTTCATAGATAGTGTATTCGCCTTCTGACCAAGAATACTGAAACTTAACAACAACGACTGAATCCCTAAATACCGAATGGTCAAACGCAACCCCCTCAATCATAAACGATCGAGTAGGATATATAAACAGTCAAACGAATTATTCTCTATTCTTTTCTATTCATTGACTCAAAAACTCAAATGATAATATGCATCAATTATATGAGTATCATGCACTATTCATAGGAAACAACGTCATTTATAATACAAAACTGAATAATTTACAAACATTCAGACATACATCAACTGCCAAGAAAGGAAGAATGAAGAACAGATTACAAACAATGATAGCTAGCTACCGAGACATTGCTACGTCTAATTGGTAATCTATAAATCACTAAAAGCATTTAGTTTACAATTTATTCACAAATTACTGTCATATTCAGTGTCATTCTGAAATCACTGTAATTTAAATGTTGTTCCTTGTATCCTAATTTTCTTATTCTACTGTCCTAGTTTGAATATGATTGTATGATTCTTCGAACGTTGTGTTTCTTACTTACTTACTTACGCCTGTTACCTCTATTGGAGAAGTGTACGTTTCCCACCAGCATTCTCCATCGAAATCTGTCCCAAGCAATTGTTTTCAGTTGTTTCCAATTGCTATTCATTCTTTTTCATGTCTGCTTCCTTGGCCTTATTCTTTTTCCTTCGCCTTGAGGATTCCAAGTTAGAGTTCGCTTCGTGATGTAGTTTGGTGATTTTCGTAATGTATGTCTTAACTAATTCTAGTGTTTTTTTTCCTAATTCCCTCTTCAGTTAAAAGCTGGTTTGTTTTATACCACAGTAGGTTGCCGCTGTTGTGTTCCCACTAGTCATATATTTGTTAATTTATATTTTCAAGTTAAAATAATCGGATAAATCGTATACACATTTTTCCAATATAGTTATCTTATCTTTTGGCTTCCTAAACCAAAATAATTAGGTCATAATAAATCAGCGATAGAACTGTTCTTTTGTCACTACCGTCATGGACATTCACAGTCAAAAAATCGAACTAACCTGTTTCAGTTGTACTAAGTAACCTTAACATATTAAAGCTGTAAACTAGTTTCAAGACAACTCCCTCTGTATAAAATAGTAAGTAAGTGACATCACAATATTAATAATTAACGACTTCATTAAAGCTTATCACCAAACATGTGAGGATAATCATCTTTCTTTCAGTGTTCAAAATAAGTGTGATATCTAACAATTTCAAGTATTTTTAGCATTCATTTAATGTGCCCGTGTTGTACTTAAGTATGTAATGTTTTAACTGAGAACTTCATTTTCATCATCGTCATCATAAATAGGAATATTGTAGCGCATGCAAACTGGTCAGATGTAAAAAGTAAATAGAATAGAATTTATGACTTGGAATAAAATCTTCAGTAAAAATTATCCATTTATATACAGTATTCACTCATTATAAATGAATAGGAAAGTTCTAAATATTAGATATATATTAACTATTGAAAAGTAGATGGAACACAAATTCATGGACACATATCCTGTGTAATCATTGTAGAATAGTTCTAAAACTTCTAACTTTTCTACAATTATTCTTCCATATACTAACAGCATCAAACTATAATTAAACTTTTTTTCTGGTTAGCGCATTTTTGGAAAAGCTATTTACTGAAGGATGGGGTTGCTGACCCGATGCCCAACTCTTCTCATTTACCCGGGTTTGGGATCGGCAGGAACAATTGTTTACGCAAGATACTCAATATCCGTTGGCCCGATACCATCAGCAACAACTTACTGGAGGAGGGAACAAACCAACATACAGAGAAAGAGAAAATTGAAAAAAAAAAAACGCTGCAGGTTGATAGGACATACATTGAGGAAAACATCAAACTGCATCATGAGGTAAGTTATAACTTGGAAGAGACACATTAAGTCGTGAGTTGGAAGCAGACATCGAAAGAATCAATAGTGATTGGGAATAACTGGAAATGATTGTCCATGACACAGTTCCATGAAGGATCTTAGTGGATGGCATTCCGCTCTTTCACGAGTGGCAACAGAACTAAGTAAGTAAGATCATGAGGTTCAGTATTGCTCATAACATACTTTTTTTTCATTCATTCGATCTTTTTGAATTGTATTATCAATGCTCACCCCTTTTTCATTATCCTTTTTACCATGATATGATATGGAGAAATTTGGATTAATCAACTTTTATATCATAAAATACTTTGATTTTAATTGATAAATTGATCATGATTCAGTCAGTCAGTCAGTAACAACGTGGAACTTCGTACGCACGTACATCAGTTCGAGTTGCCATACCACATTAGCACAGAGATGCAGTTGTTGATTCAAATCCCCTAGTGGTAGAAGTAGTAAGAGTATAAGAAGTAATCGGAAAGATAAGGTTTTGAAGATGTTATTCAAGGAATATAATACAGTGAAATAAATTTAGAAAGAGAAAAAAAGAAAGGGCTATGAAGAATTCAAAAGATTAGAATTTGAGAGAACACAAAGAGTTGATGCACCTGCGCACACCATTGCAAACGATTTTCAGCCATTTCATTCAAGGTCTCTAACCATCGGTTGCTATCATCTCGCGAACCCCAACCAGGTAATCTACACCTACTAACATCGCTCAGTTCACTTGTCAGTGACTTCATGGAATTGTGTAGTGTTTTGGTCTGGCCGCCTCTAGCTTTCTTCCAACCTACACTATTCTACACCATAAAAAATAACACGTCGGGACAGTCGGTGGTCGGGCATACGTAACACATGTCTCAAACATCTCAACTGATTAAGTTTTACTACTTCATCAATTGATTTGCCATCCTTAACTAGTACCCGTTTCCTAACAACTGAGTTACTTACTCGGTGGTCCCAGGATATACGAGTAATATTTCGAAGACATCTATGGTCGAATACTATTGACCTACGAATATCCTCTACTCTTACTGGCCATGTTTCACTGCCATAGAGTAGGACGGAACGAACACGTCCTTTGGTTGCTAGACGGATATCTCGACTACGCCACAAATGACGCAAGTTGACAAAAGCTAGTCGAGCCTTCTGTATCCGTACTGAGATTTCGTCACACACCAGACCACAAGGGCTGATGAGACTTCCAAGATAAGTGAAGCGGTCGACACGCTCAACTACTTCACTCCCTATCACTAGTTCGGGTGGCGGTGCAACCCAATCCTGAAGTAACATTTTGCATTTCGGTCGGTAGAATCGCATTCCGAACATGCCTGCATTGTTGCTTAGAGTGGTCAGCAGACTCTGTATTTTGTCAGCGTCTTCACCAAATAGAACTATGTCATCGGCATACTCTAAGTCAATAAGTGAATCTTTCGGTAGAAGTCCAACCCCTGGAAATTTAGATGAGGAAAGTGTCATTTCTAAAAGCACGTCTAAGACAAAGTTAAACAAGAATGGAGAGAGTGGATTATTATAATCAAAACTATTAACTTACTTTATTTGTCTCTTTATAATCAACAGGAATTATTTCTTTAAAACAAAACCATTTATATATTGTATTCGTTTCACCATCTGATGATAGATTACATTGAGTTTCATGAACTGTTATCATTTCAGTAATATATTGAGATTTTCCTGATATGAATGATGATAATGTTTTTATGGTACGTTTTACATTCCAATAAATATTTGACTTAAAAGTAAATGAAATGAAAAAAACAAAACAAAACAATCAACAAACGACCTTTTTTCCGGTGAATCAAAAAGATCATTCAAAGAATATAAATAAATTTCATTCAAGAGGAAGAATGTTGTATTTGTGAAAATCTTAGCGGATGAATTTGAAGTCAATCTAACGTTTCGCTTAACAATCTGGTTTATGGTTTTTCAAGGAAATATAGCTATAACTTGTGACCTGTGTGCCCTGCTAATGTATAATGTAACGATACCATCAATTAGAGAGCAGCGGATTATCGATCGGATCAATGACGCATAAGACCCGTACGAACAATCTAGAGTACTTATCGGTCCTGCTTCCTACCTAGCCCAGTCAGTTAAGTCCAGAACACCAATCTCAGCCTCTGTGATATGAATCATTTATTTCAAACATACTGGGTTTATATACAAACCAGACCGACAACATTTTTACAAGATTTGGCAGTGAATGAGAGAGGTAGTAATTGATAGACAAGGCATAATTTAAGAATGGTAAATGGTATAATAATAGTTCATAAGTCAAAATGAAGCTCATAATAATAGGGACATGAATATATATACCTTAGTTATTTAACAATTACACGATAAAAATATACGTTTAGTATTGATCCATAAATGGATCCCAAAAGTTACCATTGATTATGTTCATCGGGACATAACAAATATAGAATCAAACATCAAAATTATCGATAATTCGATTATATTTCCTTGGATCAGATTGCCAGAGGAAACATTGAATTTACTTCCAATTCATTCGTTGAGATTTTCACAAATACAACATTCTTCCTCTTTAATGTCTCATATCGACTTGGCGCCTAAATATTGTGAAACTATTCGACCAAATTTAGACGAAAATTCTTATATAAATAAATTTCATGCTTATAAATATTGAATTAGCATAATGTAATCATCACCTAAGGCTTCGAATGAAGTTTTACAAGTCAATGGTTTCAAATCAATCAGTTACTTAATTTATTTTCTTTAGAACTCAGTTAATAAGCATCAACATATACACATATTCCCCAAACCTTTGATCTAGAAGTCTAATCTACAAATCAGTGGAGCAATGGTAGCTGGTGACCAATAATGGGTTCATACGCCATTTGCTTCTATAAGATCCTGGAGTTCATGTGCACCATTGATTTGTAGTCACGGTTTTCCAACTCCCCTAGGTAGATCCTTCGTGCCCACCAACCTGGTTACAGCTTCCGACATTTCCTTTTCATCCTCTCAATTTCGTAAAGAACAGGCCCGCTACGAGAAGGCAGTGAGTTGGACTTCGTTGGTAGTGGTTGTATACGCGTGGCCATGTGAAGCATTTCAAGAAGGAGAATAGTCTCTTCCCACCATAAGCCATGACAAGGGTATATAGAGACTTCAAAGACAAAGCTAACAAATTGCGTGATCTTAAGGTCATGAATTTCATCATGATAAGTTACAAAGAATTTACACAACACTTGCATTTTTCGGTACGTTATGAAATTCGAACTGTCTACTCATTTGGTCACCATGTGTTCTGCCAACGGCGTACTTTCGCTGTATTGCAGCTTTACATTCGGTCCGACAACTGATGCAACTTCGATGCCACGTTCTGAGAGTTACCACTTAGAAACAACGTTGTGAGTAGCGTTCACTTCAGTAGTAACCAACTTTTACACAGCTAATGGGGTTTTTTCTTATCAAGTTTATGATGTGATCATTAAGTTGGTGAATCCAATCATATAATGTACTAATCGGTGTCAGATATCAGTAACAATCTAAGTCACTAAGCAGTTTGCACAGTCGTACGAGATTCCAGTTGTTATTTTAAAGTAAACACGAATTCCTTACTTAGAGAGATTATCGACCTCAAAGATCGTTTTAAGGGCTATCCATTGTCTCTCATTTTGTTTAACTTCACCTAGAAGTAACACTTCGTCTATCTTTTAAGAGTTTGATCTCCTCCCTGGAAACTCACTAACCAACTTGGAGTATGCAGATGATATATCTTATTTGGTGAAATTGCTGACATAATTCAGATACTCCTAAGCCCCTATGATAACAATGAAAGTATAGCAAGGATTCGTTTTTCTCCTCTCTCTCTCTCTCTCTATCATGGAAGAAAACTAATGGTGGCAAATACAAGACGTAGAACATTTACTCTTTCCCTACTAGCATAGGTGCTATGAATGATTAGACTTCTTTGCTCTTCATTCATCAATGCTAGTACGATATGGTGGCAACTCCAGTTGATGCACATTTTTGCCAGGCTCTATGTTAATTGTAACTGATTGACTTATGTAATGCAGAGAAATGAATCTAAGGTAGCATGAAATCTATAGATCGTCTCAAATTAATAAACATACACAGTACAAATACTCGAATTTTATTGGTCTATAATATATCATCGTAAAAAATAGGAAATCAACCTACTTCCATAGAAGAGAATCGAAGACATTGCAAACGTCTAAGAAATAGCATTAAGCTAGGATGTAGTGTTGTTTGAATGAGTTGAGTAATATAGAGAGCGGGTGATTGAACTATTCTTGTTGAACGATTAATTAATGTTTCAGAATTCAACGGTAGAATAAATAAAGTTTTACACCATGATGGTATTTCATTAGAATAATTTTGAGATCTCATCAATAACTCATTATCACACCATTCAGGTATGAGTATTAATGATGGCGGCGTTTGTTGTGAAGTGTACTTTGTACATTTCGATTGTCGATGAAAACGAACATGAAAACCGTTAGAATGAACTTCTGGTGTATCTGTTATATTAAAGACTGATTTGAAACCGATTCCCTTACGTCCTGTTAATAAGCAGAAAATGAAAATTTTTATTTGAATAGCATGTTAATGTGTAAACAAATGAGTATATAAATATAGTAGAATCAATCAGACACTAGTCTGAGTGACTCGACATTGTGTACGATATATATTGATGTTAAGTAGTTGGTTGGAGGTGATCGGTGGGGAATCACCTTACACTGAAATCCTGTGTATAACACTACCAATCATTTTAACTAGTGATTACCTTGCGATTCGGTCGATGGAATATGATCACCATTAGCGACTGACTAAACAAACATGACATTGCCTACCACTACTACTCAAAGATAAAACTATGTAAATATCTTAGTCCTACAAGGAGTCAACTGATGCCAAAATAGATCGGTGGCAATGTCTCCAACTTTAAACAAGGGTTCGAATCTTACGGTGAAGATTAGTTCACTCAGAACTACAGCCAAGCCCTGCAAACGTGGAACATATAGAATGAAAACTGAGTCCGACAGGACTTTATACAAATCGTCTCTAAACACCTAAACAATTATGCATGATATGTGACGGAACATTAAGAAATAAGAACTGTCCAAGGCTTATGTTTAAGTTATTTACTTTTGTTAGCAGGACATAGATTGGATTAAAGCATGCCCAATGCACGATTGCTTCGGTGCACGCTGATTGGCTAATACTTATCCAATCAGCGCTAGTCGATACTTGAAGAACACTCTGGAATCTTCTCATGTAAAAACTATAAATATACTAACATTTTTCCTATTTTGCTTCTTACTTCCATCTAACCTTGTTATTTGGAATAATAATCTCTTTCCTGTTTAACCGTGTTCTGATTTGGGGACATGTCAAGTGAATTGGTGTCCGTGAATACTAAGCAATAGGAATAGCTGGGTTATAACCGTAAGAGAGAATTATAACAACTATATACTATTCTATTGAACAATAATGATACATTAGGATTACATAGTTTCTATCAGAATCATAAACTTTTTTGTTTTAAAATATAAAGAAGAATAGACTAAAAATTTGTAAATAAACCAACCTATTTTTGCATCACGTTGAGTCACTTTAGTACTTTGACCAATATCACATAACGCAGACATATCATGTTCAGTAAATCCAACAGATTCATTATTCATAACAAGTAAAGAGAATTTTGGATTATTAGTATTACTATTACAATCATTATTAATTGTAGAAATAGTGGATAATTGTAATTGTAATGTAGGTATATCATTTATCCTATAAGTATTATCATCAGCATTCTGTATTAGTTCTAGAAGAAAATGTCCAGGTAAACCATAGAGTTCTTCAGATAATTGTACAAGACTACGTGATAATTTCCCTTCAACTCTCTTGAATTAAAAAATAAAAGGGAAAAGTTATTTGATTTAATAATTAAATTATTTAAAGACTTTTAGTCAACATGATAATAAGATGACTTATTAATTTAAAAATAAAAACGTACAATGCTGTTTTGATTCACATAATAATATATATAGGCCCCCGAATGCCCTGGTACGGCAGAGAGTGGAAAGACTCAACTCTCCCTCTCGTAATGCTCTCACATGGCCACGCGTATACAATCACTGACAGAAAAGTCCTACTCACACTACCTTCTCGTGGCGGACGTGTTCTTTGCAAAAATGAGGGGACGAAAAGCGAATGTCCGGTGCTTTAACGGGACCCCAAACCAATGGTGCACATGGACTCCAGGGTCCTGGAAGAACAAATAGTGTATGAACCCAATGTTGGTCACCGGTTACCATGGGACTGTATCTCCCGACACTGCTCCACTGCCTTGTGGATTAGACCTTTAGGTCGAAGGCTCCGGGTGTGGCTCCCTAAGGAAACCATATGCTTCGGTTTGGGCAACCAGGCAGTATCACAGCCTTTACACAAATCAAATGAGATTTGTGTGGCGCATATGTATTCGGTGACCCTTTGTACCAAGATCTATATGTTCAACTAAATAAATAAACTACGGGGCTGTGGGACATGTTGTTTACGTCTCAGGCTTTAACAGTGATACTATTTACTGCTGGCCAAACTAATATAGATGATATCACATCTAAGTTAAACAATACGGATATATTTCATATTTGACAAATATAACAATCCTATTCAGTTAAAACTATGCATAACTTACGTCATGGTTTTTAAAATGTTGTCTTTCCTTATGTAATGGTCAGTCAGATAATAATTACAAGCAATATACAACAAGACAAATATCTCCATCAACCCAATTTATCACAATACAAAGGGACAATGAGATGAAATTATCAAAAAAAATACCACAGTAACTGATTTTTAACTATATTATACAACATTTCGAACTATTGATAATGGTTGCTAAAGCACACGATTCAGACCAATAATTAATGACCCCACAACCGAACCAATATCTTGGTTTAGTTATCTATAACTTTTATACGGCCTACGTCTACATTGATCAAGATCCCCAGCCAAAATAACAGTATTAACCTAGTGATCTCAATGGAATTATGAAGAAAACCTATTAGGCAGCTAACCTCCGTCTATCATTTCTTAACTGATCTATGGAGAATCTACGACTATAAAACAAACTACCTGATTATATCACATCCATGTATATCTACGAATTCAGCTGCTTCTGCGGAGAAAACTATATTGGGTGCACAACAGGAAATGGAGCTAACAAGTTAGTGAATACTTTCTTTCATGATTGGGAAAGGCTATTTTCAGAACAATACGCAGCACCGTTCTATGACACTTAATTGATAGCGGTTGTTTAATAGACAGAAATAAGCAGTTAGAGTAATTTATTGTGTACCTACTACTTCTCCTTATGCGGTTAGATCTCTGCACACACAAAGAGTTGCACTGATGCTGTCCAAAGAACCACAAAATGCACTTACACGATGAGAATCTCATGGATCTAAAATCATCAGAGCATCCTTCAAAACAAAGCAAGTGTGAGAAATTCAGAGGCAACATACTACTAACGGTACCAAGAAAAGTTTTCAACAGAATGCTGCTTAACCGGATGAAAGATTGACTTATCTGGGTAGTATCATTAATGAACAAGGAGGGTTTGATATAGACGTAAAGGCAAAAATCAGCATAGAAAGGGCAGCACTCCTACAGGTGAAGAACATCTGGAACTCAAAACAACTATCAACCAATATCAAAGTCAGAATCTTTAATACGAACGTCAAGACAGTACTACTGTATGAGGCTGAAACTTGGAGAACTACTACAACCATCCTCAAAAATGGACAAGTATTTATAAACAATTGTCTACACAAGATATTCAAATGTCCGTTAGCTTGATACCATCAACAATAACAAAACAACTTACAGAGGTAGAGGAAATAAAAAAAGACGTTGGAAGTGGATAGGACATACATTGTGAAAATCAACAAACTGCTTCACGGGGCAGGCCCTAAACTAGAATCCTGAAGGGAAACGGATGAAAGGAAGGCCAAGGAACACATTGAGTCGGGAATCGGAAGCAAACATCGAAAAAATGAATAGCAACTGAAAACAGCCGGAAAGGATTGTCCAGGACAGAGTTCTATGGACAATTTTGGTGGACGACCTATACTCCTCCACGAGGGGTAAGTAAGTAAGCAATACAATTACATTGTACATGAGATCTGGTTGCAAACAATACTGTTCGTTTATATTTTTTGCTTTAATTTACAGTAAAAAATGAGTTGTATTATTAAACCAGTGAAATTAACAAAACAGGAAGGAGAATGCACACGTTATGGAATAGTAAAGTGAAAAAAAATTGGATTATATTATGTATCCATTACAAAACAATAAGCGTTTCTGTAACTTTTAGGTGAAAATAGTAATAGTCATAGTCTATACTTTATTTCTAAAGGGAGACCATTAAATTGTAACTAACCTGAATTAGATCAGTTGCTTCTTCACTTAATTCAACACCGACACCAAATTCACGACGTCTAATCTCTTCAATAAATTGATGGCGATCAGATGATAAATTTTTAGAATCAGCTGTTGTCATGTTTTTATCCAACTGAATTGTAGATTTGCAAACATCACTGATGTTTGCATTGGCATCGTTACTTTGAATGGATACATTGGTTGAAATATCCTATATAACAGGATTTTTTAAAAGGTTGAATTTAGAAGTATATAACTCCTTGATGCTTATAAAACTTTATCGACTATGTTCTAATGTGGCTAGACTAATAGCTCGATCTGACTGTGGCTTTTATTTGATGATTGGTTGGTGATACAAGAAAATATACGGGTAATATTACTTTCAGGTTGTCTTTACAGAATCAAACATAATAAAGAGTATGTTAATCCCCTTGTTACAAAACTCTCTCACGTCAATTAAGTTAGCCATTTGACTAGGTTAAATTATGTAGAATGTGACTCGAAACTTGAACCCGACGACTGAAAATTAACTGTTCTGACTACTAAGCTGGTGTCTAGCATACTGAGTTAACAGCTATGAAGATAAGATTTATTCGAGATCAGTTTTCAGCAATGTCAACATCCAATTCAATCATAAATCCTAATTGTCATGTCGATCCAAACCAGATAATCAACCTGCACCTACTAACATACAACTCAGAACAAACGTATATGACATCATAAACTGATACTATATCATGTTTCAGAAGCCCATAATATTATTCCGCACACTACTCGAACCCCATTCAGGATTGCATATAAGAAGTTTAAGATGGTGGTTTAAATTTTTCCCATAATTGGTTAGTATCCTTCACTGACTTTGGTATGATCTGGAGACAGTTTTTTTTATTAGTCAATAAGCTTTCATTTTCTACAGCAATTCTTTCTAATATCCTAAATTTCTCTCGATAGTATTATCCAGGAAAATAATACTCTTTTTTGACTAAGTAGAGTGCAAAATCAATTCTATCCAATCACAGTAAAATTACTGTGATCAATCAATATAAATATCTTAGTTCTGTAGGACAATCATAGTCCAAATAGCCCAAGAGTGGGGTGCGCCCGTCCTCCCTCTCGAAATACTCTCACACGGCCACGCATATACAGCCTCCGCGAAGGAAGTTCTACTCATTGCCTTCTCATGACTTGCGTGTTCTTTACGGAATCGAGAGGACGAAAAGCGAATCACCGGTGCTTTAACCGGATCCCAAACCAATGGTGCACATGGGCTCCAGTATCCTGAAGGAACAAATGGCATATGAACCAATCGTTGGTCACCGGCTACCATGGGACTGCATCTCCTCACGATGCTCCAATGCCTTGTGGATCAGAACCTTTATGTCGAAGGCTCTGCGTGTGGCTCCTTAAGAAAACCATCTGCATCGGTTTGAGCACCCAGTCAGTATTACAGCCCACACACAAATAAAATGAAAATTGTGTGGCGCATAGATATTTGGTGCGCTCTTGCACTAATATCTATGTGCTCAAATAAATAAATAAATAAATAATAGTTCAGTAGTAAAATCTCACACTGAGAAACTGAACAACTTAAGTTTGAATCCACTAAAGATTATAGATACCCTATACTGATAGATAACAACAGCAACCATAATAATCCGAGAAAAATTGAGTCACATTTTAACTTACTTCATTATTCTCTGATAATTTTAAACAATTCGATACTTCATTATTATCAACATGTTCAGATATTAACTGTGTCTCAGATAAAGATGAAGGTAAAATAGTAATTGTGGATAATTGACAATTCATATCAATGCTTTTCATTTGATCAATATTCATCATAGCAACTGTAGTTGACATATCAATTAATTGAAAACGATTTTCTTCAAAATATTTAATATAAGCAGGCCATTTTAATTGATAACCAATATTACCAATAGCAGTGATTAAATCAATTCGATTTAATTGTGAATTATTCTCATTAATGTATGTATTCAATGAAAGGAGTTCATCATGGAATAAGATATGTAAAAGACTATAATTCATAGATGAATTATTATTATTATTATTATTATTTATGAATGATATATCAGATTTATCTAATGGCCATGATGTAGAACATCGAATTCCTGCTAATTCTAAACTTGGAATAATAATCTGAAATATTAAATAAATAAATTTTAAGAAATTGAATGATATTCACTAAGAAGTTATTGCCGATTATTCTGTGATAATATGCTGTGTATTTACTATTCGATAATGTTAAGATGGATGCATTTGTATTTACTACTTCTATTAATTGAGTTCACTAGTTTAACGGTCGGTAGTCAATAATATGGAATCTGATAATAACTTATGTACTGTTCGCTCTTCCTCTTGAAATACTCTCACATGGTCACGCGTATACAGCCACTATCAGGGAAGTCCTACTCACTGCCTTCTCGTGGCCAGCGTGTTGTTTACAAAATTGAGAGGACGAAAAGTAAATTTCCAGCGCATTAACTGGGTTGGTGGATACAGAGAGCCGACCTAGGGGAGTAGGAAAACCCTGATTCAAAATAAATGGTACACATAGGCTCCAAGATCCTGAAAGAACAAATAGTGTATGAACCCATTGTTGGTCATCGGTTACCATGGGACTGCATCTCCCGACATTGCTCCACTGCCATGTGGATTAGACCTTTAAGTCGAAGGCTCCGGGTTTCACACAGACAGTATCTCAGTCCATATATAAATTCAATGATTTGTGTGGCGCATATGTATTCGGTGATCCTTTGTACCACTATTTATGTGTTCAAACGAATAAATAAATCGAGGTGGACAGTGATTGGATAAAGAAAGCACAAAAACCAAACATATTCGTCAGTGAGTGTTAACAGCTATATCAACCTATTTATTATACTGAACCAATACTCTATGCCAACTTTACCATTGCTTATTCAGTGGTTTGACAATACACAAGCTAAGACCTTGAAGACATCATTAAACTATTCATCATTCACTAAAACTGATAAACTAAAATGGATAGAAATCATCATAATTCTATGGTTTAGTTCTAAGAAAAATACCCAATGAGCTAAACACACAGCCAACATACGACCTAATTTGACCATACATCCACCACACTTATAATATATCTATCATCAAAATTTACAGAATATATCCTATCTGTGGTAATATCCTAACACATTTGTAATGATAATCATACTAAGTAAAATAGACTGACATAAAATATGCACATTTTAGAAACTTACTAAAGAGAATACCAAACCTAATAGACTGTATGGTAACTTCATTAATAAACTGTATACAAAATAAATCCATTCATTTGAATCTAGAAAAAGTAACAGAACAAAATTAACTCATTGAAGGCACACAAAATAGTCACTACAATTGATATAAAGAGATAAAATGATATTTTATGGATTAATTCATTGAGAATTCCGGTCAGAGTGATGGTCGCAAACTTTGTACAGTGTAACATTTTGAGGTTCACATATTTACTTGATTCAATTCAGTATAAACTTTGTTTTATATGAAAAGTATGAACAATACTCATTCATTGTGAAAAATTTATTTCCTGCATTAATTCAGATGAATTATTTTTAGTAAGTGTGCTTTCATGGTGTCTGACGAAATCTTAGCACGGATTCGAAAAGCTCGTCTGGCTTTTGCTAACTTACGTCACCTATGGCGAAGGCGAGATATCTGTCTATCAATAAAAAAGGACTAGTATACTGCGCGGCAGTCCGTTCTGTTTTAATTTACGGCAGCGAAACATGGCCATTAGGAGTAGAAGATACTCGTAAGATACTAGCGCTTCACCACAGATGCCTTAGAAATATTGCGGGTATCTGCTGGGATCACCGGGGAAGTAATAAAGGTTAGACGTAGGGTATTAAGAAATGATGGTAAATCAGTTGATGAGGTTATGAATCTTCATCGACTGAGATGGTTGGGTCACGTGTTACGTATGCCTGAACACCGATTACTACGACGTGTAATGCTAACCGGTGTTGGAGATGGTTGGAAGAAGGTTAGGAGTGGCCAAACCAAAACGTGGCATCAGTGCTCGGAGTCACTAACTACTTGTCTGAGTCATGTTGGTAGGTGCAGACTACTTGATTGGGGTCCGCGTGACTATCGTAACCAATGATTGGAGACTGTGTGCGACATGACTCAGAATCGATCACAATGGCGTAGGTGTATACACTCTCTGTCTTCCCTTAAACTAAGAGATTAAAATCACTTCATATCTTTCTTTCTACGAACTAATTCTTTCTTCCTGTACTATATCCTTACATGCAATCTTTCTTATATATATTACCACCACTGAATTAACTACTTTTATGAATCCGATGTTCATCTTGCTGTGCTAATGAGGTGTGGCAACTTGGACCGATGCATATTTGTGCCTGGTCCTACGTTGTAGCTGACTGACTGATGTGTGCTTTTACAGTAACTATATGTACTACTCCCCCCCACATATGATGCTATTAAGTGTGTATGAAGATTAGAATATAAATAATTGCAACGTATTGCAACAGCGACGACTCCCCAGAGATAACAGTTGGCTACCGTGTGACAACAATGCCGATGGACCCAATTTTAGGTTAAAACATCGCGATTCTATTTACAATAATAATCATACCTGAGACATTCTCAGAAGTAGTAGTGAATTGATTCGTAATAATGGAACATGCTTGACTAATTGTCAATCTACTAGCCTTGATAACTGAACCGATTAGATAATCTCCAACAAGACGAATTGTAAGAGAATCACGATTGTATCGCCATTTTTCTAATGCATCTTTTAAATCATTCGATGAAGGATGTGCAGTTAATCGTAAAAGTTGGCTATTGTTACCAACAACAGCACCATCAAATGGAAGTATACGTATAGCAAGTAAATTGAATTGGTCACATACTAGAAAGGGAGAAAAATAAATACTTGTAAATACAATATGTCAATCTGTAAGTTGAATGTACAACTTGTTTACGTGAAAATAAAATATAAACAACTACTTAATCAAATTTAAATGATAAATTTGTTTTTATTTTACGGGAACAAGGACAATAATTATTCCCAGATGCCAAGAATGTATGGATAATATGTTTTAGGACATCAACAACATTAGGAATCAATTTAGAGTAGTACTTTCAAAGAGGGACAATCTTTCTCTCTCTGTATATATATATATATATATATATATATATATATATATATATATATATATATATATATATATGGCCTCAAAGGTTCGGGTCGACCGTCATCATATACATTTATAGGGACACCGATTTCTCAAGTGTACAGCTTTTCTTGATATTTCCCTTTTGTTTACACCAAATCCTAAAGGACTGTTTCCTAAATTTGCCAAAAGGCAACCCCGAGTTGGATTAGACCTAATAGTGATCAACTAATAAATACTGTCATATTGTCTATAGAGCTTCCTGTTGAACAAAAAATGTAAATTTACCGTACAACCGAGAATCAGTTCTTCTAAGGAAATATGGAAACTAATTCATGTTTCTCAACTTTGTATGTCATTACATAGGAAGTCAATATGTTTTTCTGGTACATTCATGAGTCAAGATGATACATCATGTGGTACCATAAATTTATGATTTGCTATCCAATTTTGTTGATAAATTCAAAATTATTGTTTACACTGCTCTACGAATTCTTTTATGTAGTAACTTTCGAAGTTCTACCAGACACATCGCTCTCATATGATAAGCTGAACTATTCATGTCTAGGACTAGGTGAAGTGGTTAACTACTTCGATGTACTTTTGGTAGACTATAAATTTTGGGTATCATAGTACCAGTGGATCTGAGTGTTTACAATTGACATATTCATTAAGTAACTTGAAACAGGCAGGTAAAATTTCCTAGCACCTCTTTGAAACACTCTATAAGTAAAAAGTTTATTATATGTACACTTGGATAGTAGATGTGCCAAAAGTTTAAGTAGGTTGCCCTCATATATATATTATTTAGCAACACAGAGAGAGTTGGTCTTCTACTGACTTTACAATGTTTATATGAACACTTTAAGTAGTATAGCCATTATACGAGTAAATAAACTCATAAATGCATCGAGGATCTAAAATATAAGAATAACATGCTATTGACATGAAATTATCTTTACAAATTAGTTAAAAACTCGAAATATAGGACAAATATTCTACATTTGTTCAATAGAATACACTATTATAAGCTTTTGAGAATTAGTGAATGATATCAGTTGTAAATAGAATAGAATTACAGAACTCACACAACAATGAGTACGAGACTTGTTTAACTACTACAATTAGGGAAATACTAAGGTAAGACAGAATGAAATACCAATCGTTACATAAAACATAGAAAACCTCGAAACGGTATTAGTGAATGAAGTTATTAGCTGTTGGTCTGAGTTTTTTTTGGTAATAATAAGTTTAAAAAAAAACTCATCAGGCAATTGAATATGAGTAACATTGTAAATATGAAAACCAATGGTACTATCTGGTTACTAGAAGTGAAGTAAGAGGAGCAGGGTTCAAACTGAGAATCTGATGGCTGAAAGTCGTGCGTCGTAACCACTAAGCTATTATTATTTAAACATATAAACATTGGTATAATGAGACACCAAACATGTATGTGCCATTGGATTTCTGTGAGGACCGGAATACTACCCTTGCGCCCGAACAGAAGCAGGTATCACTAAGCTACCACATTGTCTATAACGTTATGGTCCGTGAGATAATTGGAATCATTGGCTAAAGACGCTGGGTAATATGGTTCAGAATCCACCGTAGTGGTGCAGACGCATTTACTATTTGGCTTTCTCTAAACCACCAGCTTTTTTAAAATTTCATAGGATTTATTTCTCAACTTAATTCCGTTTTCTCAAACTGTATTTTTAATATTTAATCATGCTAACTATCATTTTCAACACAATTATTTCGATTTGTTTGCCATTTATCTCGTTCAACTCATCTCGCTGAGTTGGTGTGATATAGTATATTATTAAGCTAAGGCATATTCACTTCAAGCTTTATATTGACCAGGACCATGACTGATTGGTTAAGTAATACCTCAAAAGATGATCAATTTTTTTATAAAAACATATTTTGTCATCTTGAGAAAAAGTAATTTTATTTTAAACAAAACGTCTTTGTAACTAATTGACAATGGATAATTGACAGGTAAAGATAATCCATAACTGATAGGAATGAAAGAAGTAGAAATGCAATCTACCGGGGATTACGACAAGATTTTGGTGAAAAAAAAAGTAAAAAGTCGAAAGAAAAAGGGTTTTCCTTCCTTCAAGATAGACACAGTATGGTAAAGAAAAGAACAATTATTAAACTGGGAAAAATAAACTTATTTTGATTTTCTAAACAAACAAAAAAAGCCTTACCTTGTTCAACTCCAGCCTCTATAAGAAATGAATCAAGACTACCCCAACGATCATAGAATAGACAATCTTGATACCATTGAGACCATGCTTCTAAATCCATTAAAGAAGGACAAGCTGACAGAAAACTTAAGACACATTCACGTTGAGTAAGTAAACGCGAAATAATATCTGATGATGATGATGATTGTAAACTCATAGATTGTTGAATTTCTTCCGTAGTTAAAATATTAGGTAAATGAATATGATGACTGAAAAACCGAATAACGAAATAGTATTTTTAGATATAAACAATAGGTATACATACTGCGATACTATGATGGGCAGATAATGACAGGTTAAAGATCGACAATAACCAATCAAGATTGAGGTTGACAGAACAACCTATTAGTCAAATGTGAAAAAAATTCGAATACTTCATTTCTACCTCATGTTTATGCTGATGATGTTGTTCAAGAGAACAATGAAGGCTCCACGACTACACCGTCTAGCTCAAATAATAAAACTCTACCAAATTTATCCACCTGAGCTACAAATTTTCACCGTCTCATGGTTATCACGATAATAAATAACAATCTCACCTTAAAAACTTGACACAAACAAAGGATGTAAAACGTTAATGCAAAAATTCAAGGTAGCAACATTCGATCTGAGTTGATACCATATATCAAAACAGAAACTTTACAACCAGTAATATAACAGTACTGATTTATGATACGTCATTGCCATTGGTTATTTACCTTTCGATATTGCAAGTTGTATTCATAAGTTTAGAAAAGAATAGATTAATGCATTATAAGCCAGCTCGTTTTATCCAACACGTGAGGTGAAATCTTATAATTCATTACGCATAAAAAATTGTTTGAAGAAAATACAAATCATATAAAAATGTACTTTTTCATAAAGCAATCCAGTAACTACGTGAATATTGGGCGATTTCAAATCGAGTGTCCAAACTAGTGCATTTTTTTTTGAAGGGGTTGCATTCGTCACGATTCGATCTTAGTCTGGGTATCATTGTAAACCGAAGCGTACTACACAACCAGCAGGGATAGAGATCACGACTTTCAGGACCGACACTGTAACGAATACAATCTATAAATTAAACCATTCTCTACAAAATCTTCCCAACGGGATCGATAATAATCACATCATTAGTGACTGGGTGCATGATATCCTTGAAGCCTAACTAAGATCAATCTGTGAATACATCGTACAAGTTGAATCAATCTTCATAGATTCGGCGATTCGGCTACCTTACATCCAATCACAAAGTAAGAAAATATAATTGAAGTACTTTATATTGATAAGTATTTGTATATACGATAGAAACAATGTTTGATGACTTGATTATCCATGAACCGTGATTTTTAGTTACTTCCATTCATAAAATTAAGAGTAAACTTTTCAGAATATTCACTATCAATCAGTCAATGAGTAACAACGTAGAACTTCGTACGCACGTACATCAGTTCGAGTTGCCATACCACATTAGCACAGAGATGCAGTTGTTGATTCAAATCCCCTAGTGGTAGAAGTAGTAAGAGTATAAGCAGTAATCAGAAAGATAAGGTTTTGAAGATGTTATTCAAGGAATATAATCCAGTGAAATAAATTTGGGAAGAGAAAAAAAGAAAGGGTTATGAAGAATTCAGAAGATTAGAATTTGGGAGAACACAAACAGTGGATGCACCTGTGCCATTGCAAACGATTTTCAGCCATGTCATTCAAGATCTCTAACCATCGGTTGCTATCATCTCGCGGACCCCAACCAGGTAGTCTACACCTACCAACATGACTCAGTCCACTTGTCAGTGACTTCATGGATTTGTGCCATGTTGTGGTCTGGCCGCTCCTAGCTTTCTCCCAAATGACTCCTATACCATTGAAAATCGCACGTTGGGGCAGTCGGTAGTCGGGCATACGTAACATATGTCCTAGCCATCTCAACTGCATATTCACTATCAAGTAAGGATATACACGTATAAATATAACTTTAGTAATAAACTCTACAACTTTAACCAATAACCGCCACAATGATTCAAATACCACATACAATCAACAAACAAAACAGAAAACAACTAACTAACTTACTGATAAACTAATGGTTGTACTTTATTGATTTCATGATCATCCATAATTTGTGATAAAATTGATTCAATCAACTGTTCTAATTTTGATGAGTGAGTGATGCGTAAATTTTCACAGACAAGTTTACACAATTCCTAAATTTGTATTTTGTTGTTGTTGTTGTTGGTAAGGAAAACAATAAAAGGATTAGATCACGTAAGTGATTGTGTGTTATTTTTCTACTGGAAAGGCATGTATTCATTTACAATAGTAGTAATCAGTGATTTAATTATTAAACATATACCTTGTTTTTTTTTATAAAAAGAAAAACACGGATTATTGCTGATGACAGTCAGGAAATTGTATACAGAAATTTATCCAAAAGGTATTTCAGTCAGTCAGCTACAGCGTAGGACCAGGCACATATATGCATCCGTCCAAGTTGCTATACCTCATTAGCAAAGCAAGATGAACACCAAATTCATAGAAGTAGTTAATTCAGTGGTGGTAATATATAAAGAGAGTTATTAGAAGGTGTAGGAAGGATTTGACTGTGACCAACTTGGTCTCCTGTGCTGTTACAGGTATGAGGGTTGACATCACTTCCCGGATGCCCACGCCATGGAAAGGTATTTCTTGAGGAACCTGAAAAGGAAGTTGGATTAATGTTGGTTTTAACGACCTGGGAGCATGACCGCAGAGCTCAAGGAAAAAGTGCTTGAGGCCGGTCGCGCACGGCCTTTTTGTGGGAGGTTCTTAATGTGCTAGCTCCGTTCTTCAAAGGGCCTTACCGCCGGAGACGGAAATCCGTGGGGTAAGGTGAGGTGTGACATTGTTACTGACTGATTGTATGTAAGGCTATAGTATAGGAAGAAAGAATTAGTTCGTAGAACGAAAGATATGAAGCGATTATAATCTCATAGTTTAAGAGAAGAAAAAGAGTGTATATAATCAATCCAAATCGAAAAGAGATATCGTTTTTGGATGAAACATAAGTTACCATGTTTGACTAAAATTAATACTCATATTATCAGTTCAATTGTTCATCCAAGGTTAAGAAAGAACTATTATCAATTACACTTTCCTGTAGAAATTAACCGAAAGTGTCACAAATTATAGTTATATCATTCATCCTGAAACATGAATGGCCCCCAAATGCCCTGGTACGGTCGAGAGTGGGGAGAGTCCACTCTCCCTCTCGAAATGCTCTCACATGGCCATGCGTATATAGCCCCTGCCAGGGAAGTCCTACTCACTGCCTTCTCCTGGCGGGGGTGTTGGTTATGAAAATGAGAGGACGAAAAGCGAATGTCCGGTGCTTTAACCGGATCCTAAATCAATAGTGCACATGGGCTCCAGTATCCTGAAGGAACAAATGGTGTATGAACCAATCGTTGGTCACCGGCTACCATGAGACTGCATCTCCTTACGATGCTCCACTACCTTGTGGGTTAGACGTTCAGGTCGAAGGCTCGGGGTGTGGCCCCCTAAGAAAACCACCTGCTTCGGTTTGGGCACCCGGGCAGTATCACAGTCCTCACACAAATCAATTGAGATTCGTGTGGCGCATATGTATTTCGTGCCTCCTTGTACTAATACCTATGTGTTAAAATAAATAAATAAATAACAAAAACATGAATGAATTAATCATAATCAATATAGAGCGTGGTACAAATTCCCGTTGGTCTAAGTTACTATACCACATAAGTATATCGCAAAATGAAACTAAAAAGACGAATGGTAAAATAGTCAAAATAAATGTAATAGTAATGCTATTTGAGAAGAATTAAAAATTGGTATTATGGTTTGAGAGAAAAAAGTGAAAAGATTCGTACGGGGAATATTGGAACTGGAAGATATAGAGAAAAGTATAGATTGAATGTATCAATACCAATAAGACCGATTCTGATTTATGTCAACCAATATCTCCAATCATTGATTGTCATTATCGTGTAAATTCCCACTAACACGACTCAGATCAAAAATTATTGATTTGATGAACTGATGCAATGTCCTGGGATACAATGTACATTCGGATCTTTCAGCTATATATTCTGTAGTTTGTATTATTTACAACATTTCTAAAAATCTATACATATACAGAAGCCTAAAAAATGTATAGCTTAATATGTATAGCTTAATATTACGAGAATATGGCTGTACTTCATGTCTTTGGTTTTAATTTTGTCAATTTGACCCTTATGTTGTTTTAAGAAAAGCATAATTGTCTAGTTTACGGACTTCTATGAAGCGTGCAAGAATTATTCCGAAATATAGGGTTGAATATAGGACGTTCATATGACTTATTAACGAGTTAAGCATAAGTCGAAATAAATCTATTCATATTTGAAATCTCATCTGATATGTGAAATCGTATGATTCATGTCATCAACAGAAAAAGGTGAAGTTTTTCAGCATTAACCAGTACATGTGTGTAATTAGAAGTACCCATAGCGGAAAAGTTACAAAGATGGAAAATCAGATGTCCGTGGTTCGAATAGCTTAATGACAACATCTCGGACTATTAAGCTGGGCGACGTGGAATCAAATCCAACAGGAAGTATCAGTTCCCTTAAGACTGAAAGTATACCCTGCTGGTAAGTACCAACTAACATGAAATCTAAGTTCAGTGAATCCTGGCAACTATCTCCAACCACGTAACATCAATTGTCTGGTACTCCCTTTAGTTTTTAAAGGTTTTTCTCAGCTAAAATTAATTTGCAATAAATAATACCTTGAAATCATAACTGTTTTTATATTGTACCCAGTACAATTTAACTTGTCTATATAATATACCTTAAGCATTACATACTTCAGTATGTTTCGGAGTGCAAATATATTGACAATGAAAAAAGGTAAAAAAAATAAATTCTACGAAAAAAACCCTGTTAACTAGTAGAAAATCTCGAAAGAAAGTATCGATTGAACTGTGATGATAAACGTCATGAACAATAACTAACCTCTTTACTTCTCGAAGAGATACATGTCAATTTCTGTACAAAGTCAAATACTAATCCAGGATCTATATCTCTTGATGTTGATGATTCTTCGTGTAGAACACCAGATTTGCCTGGACTTGATTCATTGTAACTGTTTTCATCAGGTACTTTATCTTTTCTGATATCAGTCACATTAAGTGGAAACTAATAAAAAATAAACAATGTAATTTAACCACATTTAAAGTTCATTTCTGAAAATTTATTTAATTACAATACTCAGAAGTAACTTGTATTATATTTGACATTTTATGGAGTCACACTTCATTGGTTTGTCAAAATGCTAATTGGTAATGTAAGACTTATCAATCTAGTCATGAGCTTTTTTTTGATTAATAGTAATATTCCCCAACTGTTTAGATGGAAATACTTAAAGTGGGTTTCGAACCTGAAACGCAATGGTTCGAAGTAAAGGGGGTTAAACACGAAGCCATAACTCCGACCACGCGTAAACAATCACTGACAGGGAAGTCCTACTCACTGCCTTCTCGCGGAGGGCGTGTTCTTTACGAAATTCAGAGGACAGAAAGCGAATGTCCGGCGCTTTAACCGGGTTGGTGGATACGGAGGATCTACTTAGGGGAGTTAGAAAACCCTGATTCCAAACCGATCGTTCACATGAGCTGCAGGATCCTGAAAGAACAAATGGCATATGAACCAATCGTTGGTCACCGGCTATCATGGAGCTGCATCTCCTTACGATGCTCCACTGCCTTGTGGATCAGACCTTTGGGTCGAAGGCTCCGGATATGGCCTCCTAAGGAAGCCACCTGTTTCGGTTTGGGCATCCGGACAGTATCACAGCCCACACACAAATCAAATGAGATTTGTGTGGCGCATATGTATTTGGTGCCTCCCTGTACCAATATCTATGTGTTCAAATAAATAAATAAATAAATAGATTAAATTATGGTTTATGAGAAACAAAGAAATGATTCTGATTTTCATACTCTCGAATGCATGTATTCAGATGAAATTTAAAAGTACTAAAGAATGAAACTTCGCTTTGTACACTAACAGGATTGCCATCAACTTAGGAAGAAATCATTCATAAAAATATATTTCACTAATTTTGAGAATCCGGGAAGCATTTTCCTTTTCTCAATTGAGATTAATCAACTAAATGTGTCCACACGTTATTGGTGATATTCTCAATGAGACTCGATTCAAAGAAGCCAGGGATGATCTAATCCAGTGAATAACAAGCCACATTAATTACTTTCTGCTAAGTTTGGTTTCAGAAAATAGACAAGTACACCAGATATACAGTTGGATGCATATTACCTAATAAACACTTTGGTAAACACTACCCTAAATACTATCAATGAACTTACAGAAAGTATGGATACCAAATATGCATGTTAATAAAAAAATTAGCATGAATACAACTACATTTAAATGAGGAGTCCTAAATAAGACGAAATACGTATTATTTGAGTTGTCAATCATCATTGAAATATACAACTGGTTGATGTGGTGAATTGGTAGTTAAAGTGTTCAACATGTAATCATTAAGCGGTACCTCCGAAATCCACTACACGTACTTCAGTTTAGGCAGTCCGGTATTTTCAGTCATTCTCATAGACACAAAGCTGTCGATTAAACCCGAGTACGCTAGTAAAACAAATGATCAGTCACAATTGACATAGAACCTACAACATATGTTTATCAACTTGAATTGCCACACCACATCACGACAGCTAGATGAAAGTATGAAAAAAAAAATAATATAACACAACCGATGGTAGTAATAGAGACAGCAAAAAAGACTAGACAAAGAAAGTGTAATTCAAGAGGAAAGTACTAATTCACGGAATAACTCAGCAAGCTCAGGATCTAGGTGGTAGATAAAAAGTGGAATTATCTGCGACAGTGAGACAAATTTTATAACTATATTACTCAACATTTTCAACCACTAATCACGATTATCAAGCGGACCTCCCAACCAAGAATTTTGCACTTAATAACATACATTAGACTAACAGCTAAAGAATTCATGCAACGTCCTTATACACAAACGTGTGATGTTTTAGTGAATTATAGGAATTAAATTATTTCTTTAGGAAATAGGAAAAAAAGACTTGATGCTTACTAAATTCACATTGTTCACACCGTCATTTATAGCTTCAGCAAGTAGACTTAATAAAGATGGAGAATTCTGACCAATTCCTACTTGTGAAGAAATTTCACGTTCCAATGATGCTAGTGATAACCACAAATTGTTGGATTGATTCACAACATTACCTTCTTCTTCGTGTTGCTGTTGTTGTCTTAATAAATCATTAAATTTATCTACAATCTCTGTCAATTTGGGATACTTAGTTGTGATAGCATCTGCATAAAATAAACAATGATAGAGATATTGAAAATTTTATTTAAATAACAATTGTCAGTCCTTGAAGATATTTATAATTTATATTATCAAATACATCCTAAAGACTTGTCATCGTCAAGTTATCTATTAGGTACAGGTTAGTGTAATCTGAATTTAAGTCAAAGTCTCAGTGTGAAAGTTGGTGATATTACTCAATTGTTCAAACAGAAGTAGATAGAGCGATAACAAGAATCTGTAACTTAGTGAATGAAACTCGAACGCTTTAATTACAGGCACAGATCCACTTGAAGACTAGTGATACTGTTCAGCTGATCGAAATAAACTAGGGTGGTGGATAAAAATCAATAATTTAATTGATAAGAATCGAGGGATTCAATCACTAACCTATGACTTACTAGTATACTTGTACCATTGCCACAAAATTTATTTATCGATAGCCTTATTTTATTTCATAAGGTGCATATTTTTGTTAACGCTTTAGTCTAATAACTAATTTGATTATTTTAGATTTAATCAAGAGGTAAGTTCTGAATGAAGTCACATCCAGTGTGTAGTTGACGGTTTATGTGCATACAGAAATTGTTAGAAGACTTGAATATTTCATACATCTTGAGTATTAAAATATAAGGCATTGGACTTTTAACAAGGGCGTTATGGGTTTGAAATCAACCTCATCTACTTTATTTCGGGCTGACGGATATTAAAACTAGTGCTCCCAAAAACAGTATACCTCAAAACCAAGTAAATAAAACTACTTAATGAGTTGCACTAAGAACCATATTTCATACATAAGTGGGAAATAATAAATTCAATGTTATTCTCTAGCAGTAATAACTCATACCATCAAGTTTTGGTGAAATCTCACATAATTCATCGTCTGAATTGGCTGTCAGATCAATAAGTTCCGTATTATCTGCTGCTGTTGGTTGTGACGATGATTCCAAAACTCGATCCGCCTTACGCACAGACGATACGACTCGAGTCAATAATTCCTTGATATTCATTGATTCCGTATTGAAGAGTAGTATGAGTAAATGTACAAGAGTACGAAAAGGCTGAAAGATATGAAAACGGAAATAAATATACTAAGGGAAAAATAATAGTAAATCTTAATTTATGTAAAATTTGCATACATATACAGAGAGTACGTAATACACTGCTTGACTAAGGCCTAGTGTTAGCTGACATTAGTCAGTAAGGCGTAGTCAGTATCTTGATAGAAACGCAACTTGGTTGGTGGAATTCAATCAGCGCTAAGAAATTAGACAACTACAACATTGGTTACAGCTCAGTAACCAACCAGCTGTATCATAGTCTGAAGACCAAACGCATATTAAATAGGTCAGTGGTAACATTTTAAAATGTGAGGCTGGGTGATGTGGACTCTAATCCCACAAGCATAATCTCCCTCAAGAGTGCGAAAACGCTCCGCCATAATATATATATATATATATATATATATATATATATATATATATATATATATATATAATTTCTTACCCCAGTAGCAGCAATACGTTGCATGAATTCACCAAATACGAGTAGCGAATCTAAATGTCCTTTAGGCCATACTAAACTTCTCTCTTCAGCCCAATTTTGCAGTTCAGTGTGTAGCTGTGTAGCACAAGTTGCCAAATGTTTAAGAACATTGACTGGTTTCATAGATCGGTATGACTCTAGAAGAAATAGATTTAAATACATCAGATATTAAAACAAGACAAGCTTTTCAAAGTTTTCGAGCAAGATGTCGATAGTAAGTACGGTAGAAGCCTTCCTTCAAAGTAATTGATACCCTCAAAATATATAGGAGAAATCATTAGCAATCTATGAATAAGATGACACGTTTGCTTATAAGCTTTAATAAATGAGCAGATGCCTATGTATCCTGGTTTCGGGGGCTAATGATACCATTTGGCTATTCACAACAAAGCAGGCTGGGTGGGTTTAATGCTGTAGCCTAACTACAAAAAGCTAAGTGCTTTAACCAATAAGTCACCCTATTCAGTTTATTCATTGATACTATTTACAGGTTTTTGAAACTATCTACAAGTTGTACACCCATAAATTTGGAAATAGATACTTCCTTATTTAGGATGATAATTATCCTGAATATGACGTGAGCAGTTGTCGACTTTCAATTTTTACTAGTTAATGACTTGTTAGATGTAATAAACAAAACCAAGCTTTTTATTGAAATCATGAATTGATATAAGTAAAACCGCCATTGAAAACCTGGAAGCACTAGACAGTCGTCTCGAGCTAGTGTAGGACTCCTCAATAGTGTGCATCCACGATCCCGCACACGGGAATCCAATCCAATACCTTCGGTCTCGTGTACGAACTCCTAGCCTCTACTCCACTGAGCCGACATCCAACGGTGTTAATATTTGACTTCAATCAATTCACAATATTATGCGACCATCTCCCACTGTCTTTGATGAGTAACTACCTAAAACCTGACATAGTTTATCTCCACTGGTCACAGCTTTCCACTAGAGCTTCGGAAACTTCCTCTTGAAGCTAGTCAGTGGCCACATGATAACTGTCAGTTGTGGAGGTTGTTGATTTTCATTAAGATTAGGAACCGATCGAGAGATAATTTTATTACCTTTCACTATCTTTATCACTTGTATTTTGTTAAATTTTTAATTTCTACTACACTTTAGCAATTGAGTAGCTTTAAATATATCGCAGCCTCCTTTATTAAATAAGTATACATGTAAATTAAGTCAATAATGAAAAAATGTGGAAAAAAAACAATTTAAGCACTTACTTAGAGTTGATTTACTCACCAAGGAGGAAGCAAAGTCCTTATACAATTGACGGATATCATTATCTAATTGATCTTGTGCCAATCTAGCAGCTTTATTTAAATTCTCAGGTCTTAGATTATTTGTTATTTCCTATAAAGAATATAAGCAAAGAATTGTGTTTTAGTAACCTGATACCTCTTATTAATTTCTAATTTTGATTAACTCATCTACCAGGTACAGATTCGTGTATTTAATGTCAAGTCACACCCTAAGTGTGAGGGCTAGTAATACTACCTAATTGCTCAAATCGAAATAGGTAGAGCAGTATTCGAGTGGTCATCTACTGACAATGACTTATCTACTTGCTGTTGAGAATATATGACTATACGCCAAGATATTTGGAAAGATACGATGAAACAACTAGACACTTGTTAATAATGTATCTTTATGAACGCTGAACTGATTTTCATGTATTCCTTGATAAATGCTCAAAACCTTTAAGGAATTAAATAAATAAATAATTTTATTTTCCATGTACCTTTCACTTTAACCTTAGTGGTAAGTAATGAGGATGAATAACTTTTTCATGATCTGGAAGTTTAATCATCATGAAACTTGATAAATGTATCCAGTATGTAGGAAAACACAAACACTTTACTCTTAATGCAGACGGCGTAATTCGGGACTATAATGGTTTTGTGGGTTTACAATGTAGCCCCAATAGGCGTGCCTTGAAAAATCTATCTTGCTAGTAAATATTTTGCATATATCTTAATAAAAAAGCTAAGGTAAACAGCTAGTGTATTATAAGGCAAACTTAACCTCAATAGCTCACCATGACCAACTGGTAAGACTTGTGCCAAACTTTGAGTCGCGGTGCTACATGTCACTTCATAATGGCAACAAATGTAGCAGTATAAACAATGAAACATTCTCCACTGAAAAAGTTTGAAAAGTGACTTCGTATATTTTCGCCATGGCCAATGAGTTATCAAAGTTTTTTTTTAAATTTATATAAAGCTGATGACTAACTAGGTCAGTGTGTATTTCAGTCAGTCAGTCAACTGCAACGTAGGACCAGGCACATATATGTATCTGTCAAAGTTGCCATACGGCACTAGCACAACAAGATGAACACCGGATTCATAGAAGTAGTTAATTCAGTGGTGGTAATATATAAAAGAAAAATTGCTGAGTTGTGTTATAAACCACAAAGCGAGAGATAATGTACGTAACTGAACAAAAACTAGCAAAGCTAAATTGGTCACTTGTAAGCTTAACATGATTACGTATATACCACAATAGGAAACCAGATAAACCTACTTGGACAAGATGGGAGAACCCCTTAATTCTAATTCCATACTTGGCCAGCTGATTCAACTTTTGATATTGATTGCTGTGTTGTACAACCCTGACATTATCCAAAACTCCCAGCATATGATTTGTAAACACTGATTTCCACCACGAACCAACTGATCCTCGACTAACAGTTGTAGGTAAACGATATCGATTTTTACAGATGCAAGTTTTTAGTTCCTCTAAAACATCCTCTGTACACATTTTCACTGCTTGATTTGCAAATCCTGTTGTGAAACACGCCACTATACGTTGATCGAATTCACTAACTTGAAGTATTTCTAGTGCGGCTGGTAACCTTACGATTGGGCCAAGAAGTCGATAATCATTTGGTGCTTCCAACTTGTAACATAAAACGCAAGGAATTATTTGAGGATGCAACGTTTAAATTTTTTAGATATTCTAATGGAATTTTGAATTTATTTTAAATACAACTAAATGGAAAGAACTCAATTCGGAAAAGTAGAGGGTTTATCGAGAATTCAAACTGAGAACCACTCGAAGTATCAAACAGAAAATTAGAATGTACTTTGTAACGTGTGAAAAGTGCATATCATACAAAGAATTTTTACGCCATTAATGGTCACCCCATAAACTTTAAAAACTCGACCAATTTAAAAGTGTCCAGAGGTTTTGTGTGATTAATGTAATTCAGTAATGAAGTACAGATTTGTATTTAAGAAGTTCAATAGAAGAGTTAATGATGATTCCTGGACGTACAAAGTAAAGTAGGTAAGATAACTATTCGGTCTGCAAACTAATGGCTGGTAGTGCTATGACTTAAGCATCGGCTGAATTTCTTTCCTATGCTAGAAATATTGTAAGTTGGATTTTATAGTAAAAAGTCAATTGTCAAGACGTTACTTGGACCTTATATTTTATGAAATGGAAGAAACATAGCTTTTGAATTGAAGACAAAATGATCTGACATAGATGGTTATACGTTAATGATTTCAGAAATGGGTTAAGTCTTGTCAGAGGCCACCGTGTTTTCATACTCAGCCACGAGTTAGATTCCAATAATCGTGACCAAACAAGTGACAGTACCCATGAAAAAAATGGACATCAAGAAATACCTGTATTAGCTGCTCCATGTCCGCCAAAGTTAGAACGTTACGAGTAGTAGCATATGCCCACAAAAGCGTGTTAACCCTTTGAATTAGCTTTCTGTGTTCTGCCAGACGAGGTATACGATCTGCATTCATTCGAATGCTTGTAATAAAATTTATGGCTGACGGATAATGCTTAAAAACAAATTTTTATGATAAAAGAAACTATAAATACCCTGAAAAGCTCCTCTTGTATGCAACCAAGGCCAGTATACCGATGTTCTTGAGAGACTTTCCATAACAGCATTTGAACAATATTGTTGACATCTTCGACAGACTGAAACTGACATGATGGTCCTGACGAAGGTTGGAAGTCAAAATAGGACGGTATCGGTTCAGGGAACGGCATTCAGCCTGACTTTCAGTTTAGAACGCGCGCTATCTATAAGGACAGTGGTATTATATCTCGTTGAGTTAATTAACTGTTTTGATCATGAATTACCCATCAGAACTACCGTTTACACTTAAATTGAATCTACTCTAATTAAAGCGATATTGTATTGAGTGTTTCGACTTTGCTTTTGCGTATTTATTGCATCGAAGCATACTTGGTGGACTTTTACTTGTGTGGAGATATGCCTGACAAGTTTATTTTGTACATAGTTTTAATTGTCATTTGTAGTTATTCTGTTAATTTTCCACTGCATGTACATTGATCATTAAATGATTGTACCTGTTGTTTAAGTGTATGACCTTGAACACTTTTTCCGTTGTGATTCCAACATAGTGTGACACTATTGTGGTTGTTACCAAATACACTACTTCGCACATACCTCTCGTCCTACACCCGCTCGCATTTGTGTCTGAATCAAATACCATTTACCTTTACAGACTGTAATTGGATATACCATATATATCGCTGGATTATATCATTGGGGAATCCATCAAACTAACTGGAATTATTAACCATTTATAATTGTGGATATTTAATACCAGATCAATTTGGAACACGCACTCTACTGTTGAACTAAGTAACGTTCCATATTTCTATTGTGTTTATAACATTTAACTTATATATATATATATATATATATATATATATATATATATTATTTGTATTAATAACTCTATTATTATCTTTTGGGTTATTATATTGTCTGGTCCACCACAATTATCTGGTGAGCCTAGAGTGTATTATTGTTTTGTCGTTTATATTTTTACTTGAAACACTAGTTTTTTTCACATCATGTACTCTCCAAATAAACTTATTGATATGGAGTGCCCCATAGTGAGTTCTCTCGTCGATACGAACACCACACACAACATCCAGCAACAATTAACGCAGTTAACAACTCAGTTAGCATCATTACAGGCTACTATTGCGAGTATCCATTCACGACCTAATAGATCCATTTCTAGAAAAAGAGCGGCGTCAAGATATCGCTCGAAGTCCCCAAGAAGGCAATTGGTATTTGTTGGTATCATACGAGGTATGGTATGAAAGCACGACGTTGCACAAGACCGTGCACATTTTCTGCGGCTGACACAGAGAATCATGGGAACGAGCCGGCCAGACAGTAATGGCGGCGACTGCTTTTGGCCAACACGCTAGCCGCCTTTTCCACATCCGGGATCATATATCTGGCTCAGACTTCTTAGTCGATACAGGAGCAGAAATTAGCATCGTCCCACTGCACCTCTCGCCGCGGAAACACACGACAAGTCCCAAGTTGTCACTCATCGCGGCTAACGATACGGTCATCAAAACTTATGGAGAGCAATCTTTCATATTAGACCTCGGACTCCGGAGACGATTCACATGGGTTTTCATCGTCGCTCACGTCAAACAACCCATCCTCGGGGCCGATTTTCTTAGCTCCTACAATTTATTAGTAGACATAACCAAGAAGAGGCTGCTAGATGAAAATACACATTTGCAGGTGAACGGTACACTTACCACTGACTATGAAATAAGTGGTGTACGAATAATGAGACCTGCGAACAAGATCTTCAATGATATCCTGACCAAATACGAGTGCACAACGAAAGCGGACTATCAAAAGGAATGCAGCCCACATCAAGTGCAACACCACAGTAGTACTACAGATCCACCCACTCGCGCCAGGGCAAGACGACTACTCCCACACAAGTTGCAGTTCGCGAAGTGAGAATCCGAACATATGATGCAACTTGGCATAATCAGACAATCAAACAGTCCTTCGGCTTCGCCTCTGCACATGGTTCCGAAGAAGGACCAAGACTGGCGGAGATTACATACGCTTAAACAATCAAGCTATCCCAGACAGGTACCCCATTCCACATCTACACGACTTCTCTTTAAACCTACATGGAAAACAAATTTTTTCGAAACTCGACTTAGTAAAAGCTTATCACCAAATCCCAATGGGGCCCGAAGAGATTGAAAAAACAGCCATAATCACTCCTTTTAACCTGTTTGAATTCTTGAGAATGCCATCCGGGCTAAAAAACGCCCCCCGAAAGTTCCAGAGGTTTATGGACGAAGTCACACGAGGATTAGACCTTGTATTTGTCTATATCGACGATGTTTTAATCGCTAGTTCATCACTCGAAGAGCATATCCAACACTTACAGATTCTCTTCGAATGTGTCAAAAAACACGGTGTCGTTATTAATCCTGCTAAATGTATATTTGGTGTTCCGGCCTTAGAGTTTTTAGGACATTACATCAACTCCCAAGGTATTAAACCACTCCCAGAGAAAGTCGAAGGCATCATTAGCTATCCAGAACCAACCTCCGTAAAATCACTACGACGTTTTCTTGGGACATGCAACTTTATCGACGATTCCTACCGAATAGCGCTGAAGTACTACAGCCGTTAACTGATTTACTGAAAAGCGATAAATCAAGCACCAAGAAAGAAAAAAATAAAATATTCAAATTACCCCCCTGATGCCAAACTAACATTCAAAAAAGCTAAATCTATGATTGCCAATACTACCATGCTACAACACTTAAATACTGACCTCACAACACTCTTAATCCTGTGCACGGATGCTTCACAGAAAGCCGTCGGGGCAGTACTGCAACAGCGGGTAAACAACACGATTACCCCCATCGCCTTTTTCTCGAAGAGATTATCGTCAGCACAAGAATGTTATAGCACTTTTGGACATGAACTCTTAGCCATGTATCTAGCCGTCAAACATTTCAACTTCTTGCTACAGGGTCGTGATTTCATCATTATGACAGATCACAAACCCCTTTGCCATTTTTTCAGCACATCGTATGACAAACATTCTCCACGTGAAGCAAGACAACTCGATTATATCTCTCAATTCACTACAGACATCCGCTATATCAAAGGTCACATAGACATCGTCGCAGATGCACTATCTAGGAGGGACATCAATACGATGGTACGCAATCCCGACATCAGCCTTGAAACCTTGGCTAAACGACAAGTAAACGACGCAGAATTGAAACTCAGCAAAGAAAAGTCTAGCTTAAATCTCAAACCTGTACCAATTCCCCTTTTAGATACTTTCATCATGTGCGACACTTCAACAGGCAAAAATCGTCCGTTCGTCCCACATGATTGTCGACGAGAGATATTCCGACACTTGCACAGTCTTTAACACCCAGGCATCACAGCTACAACAAAGCTCATTACTGAACGTTTTGTGTGGCCGAAAATCAATTCAGATGATAAACGTTGGACACGTAGCTGCCTCCAGTGCCAACGCAGTAAGACACAGAAACACACATACAGTCCAATTGTGAAGTTCCCCATTGCTGACAAACGTTTTCAACACATTCATCTAGATATAGTTGGTCTACTTCCACCATCAAATTCATTCACACTCATCCTCACAGCAGTGGACAGATTCACAAGATGGGCTATAGCGTGTCCCATTGCCGATACTTTTGCAGAGACAGTAGCCGCCGCATTCCTTGACCGTTGGATATCAAACTATGGAGTACATCCATCGTCACTACACACCGTGGTCTTATTTCAAGAATTTACAAAACTTCTGGGAGTGAACCACATCAAAACGACAGCCTGCCACCCAGCAGCTAATGGTTTGGTCGAAAGGTTTCACCGACAACTAAAAAGCTCGCTGATCGCACAGGAGGATACATCAAAATGGAGTGACGCATTACCACTCGAACTCCTGGGCATTCGTTCAACTATGAAGGAAGATATAGGTTGTACAGCCGCTGATCTAGTTTACGGTACAACACTTACACTACCAGTTCAACTAGTGGATGTAGATCCATCAACACCAAAGGACACAAATCGTTTTGCTATTCGATTACTGCAAACTATGCAACGAATTAAACCCGTACCGCTGCGTGAATATAACAATCGAATACAACTCGACAAGTTCAACATGACAAAGAAAATAGCACCACATTTAATCAACCCCTCCCACTAACCACTACGACACTAGAGGAGGATGAAATACCGAGTAGCAAACCTACTTTTTTAACTCGTTCAAGCTGAATTGAGAAAAATCCAAACGTTACGTACACTTCGCCGAGTAAAAAAATATTCAAAACAAACAATTATGGACGTCCTACATTTCTAAGTTCACACATTTTTTTTCAACAAAATCTGTGACGATTTTTTTTCACGGTGTTCATAATCAATCTTTTTTTCCACCATTACTCGTTTTGTCAGTTTTTTTTTAAAAATTTTTTTGCTCATCAATAAACGAGTAAACTGTATTTAATTATTTTTTCATTGTACACAAAAACAAACACTATTTTTTGTGGGTTTATTAACAGTTTTGCACATTATTAGCATTGTTAGCAAACCAAGACATTAAATGACTATTTTCACCCTTTCTGTTGTTGTTATGCTATGCTACATAAACGTCATACTTTTTTACACAATAACACACTGTATATTACCATTTACCTTTACAGACTGTAATTGGAATATACCATATATATCGCTGGATTATATCATTGGGGAATCCATCAAACTAACTGGAATTATTAACCATTTATAATTGTGGATATTTAATACCAGATCAATTTGGAACACGCACTCTCCTGTTGAACTAAGTAACGTTCCATATTTCTATTGTGTTTATAACATTTGACTTACATATATAAATATTATTATTTGTATTAATAACTCTGTTATTATCTTTTGGGTTATTATATTGTCCGGTGCACCACACTTGATTTATTTAGTTAAGTTTTAAGAATTCTTTCACATATTCTGCTTGTATCACCATTGTAGTTGATTTTTAAGATGGCCGGCTCTGCTCATAAATGTGGACAACCATATTGTTTACTCCCCGTGGAGGAAGGGATGCAATGTGATGAGTGTAATAAGTGGTTCCAAAAGATGTGCAACCGATTAAGCCCCGCTGCATATAAAATGTGCTCGGAGCCCAACTCTCATTGGTTTTGCA